ACATCCGCGCACATGAATTCTCGTCCGTTTAAAAAAAGAAAAGTTTTCGATCACACTATATGCCGTAAATTGTAAAATAGATATTGGAAAACGATACTAAGGTCGTAGAATGAAAAAAAAATCAATTCCAAAGGTAAATGTGAAAATATTCTGTGTATTTTGTCATTTGTTCAACCTTCATGGCCATGTAGATTTCATAATTAAGGTTACTTTTCATTTTTGCCAAACTTTTTAAATTAGTTTTGGGGTTCCTAGAGGATGTTATTCATATAAGCAAATCAACATGGCCTAATTAATGTCAATTTTTATATCTGACACCAGTTTACCTCCATAATGTGACAGTGATAGAGCCTTCAGTGTCGTCTTGGTGTGGGTTCTCTATGTGGATGACGTAACCCAGCTGGGCCATTATCAGTACGAACAGGAGCATGTTCTGGAGCTGCTGACCAATCAGACTCGCCAGAACATCTCCACTCCACCACGAATAGCAGTGTCCGTTGCAGGTGCGTTTGGCGCTGGTACTGGGTGGGTAATGGAAGTTCTGTCAGATATCTTCATATACATCATTACTCCAACACTTCATCGTTAAGCCCCTATCACACATTCAGGAATGTAGCCTCCCGAACACTACCCCATAGTTAGGAGTGCTCAGTACTAGTCAGTAGGTCGGCGCAAAGTCGGCTGGTGTTGGGCGAGGTCGGCTTCTAGTTCGGCTGTGCAAGCCGAATGTTACAACATGTCTAAAAATTCGGCGCTTGGTCGGGAAGTTCGACCAAGTTTGGCTGATATTTCGGCGTAAGTCAGCCAACCGTTCTGGTTCGCAGTGGTCGGGGCTCAAATTTGACTTAGATTTAACTCAAATTCGTTAGAAAGGTAGGCATGGCCTACATCTAGTTAGAGTGTTCTCTAACATAAGCTGAACCTGGTCGGCTGGTGTTAGGGAACAAATTCGGGGGGCGGTTGTCAATGTGTGACAGGGGCTAACTTATGAGCTGTCTTCTAGAAATGAATGTGTTTCTCTACCTTTTTGCACTGTATTTAAATCACCTGTTGTACTCAGTTAGCAAGTGTATACTGTATAGTTGCTTCAGTACCTTTCGAACTCCTTTTGAATGGTCTGTTTGACACACAGGAGGACGTAGATTCGCAACACGTACGTCTGAGTCAGCTCCAGGACGAACAGGAGAAACAAGATGGCGCCCAAGATGGAGTCAAGACCCTGAAAAACAGGTCGAAGGGATTCTAATCATCCACTGGCACTGATAGACCATAACGACACATTCTACGTGTTTACTTAATGTACCTTCTGCTTTGCTCGGGTACAGCAATTACTTTTCTGTTCAAAATTATATTCAAAATTCATAGAGCACAAACCTTATAAGCAATCTAAAGCTTGGCAAAAATGTGGATACAATTCAATTCAATTCAATTTAACCTTTACCAAAACAACTCGCTTACATTTGTCTGAATTGTGTTGTTCTCAGCAAAATTGTAGGTTAGAACTTCATCTAATCAGATCAAATGCATTATCCACTTAGAATATTACTCTGTGAATAATGCAAACAATGGCAAGAGTCCAATACACACAGATAAAGCCATTCGTTGAACAGTCCGTACCTTCATTAGATATTGCTCCTCTACCACAAACTCGTACAGATCCACTATGACGATTGGATAGAGCAGAAACTCAAGGAAGAAGGTCTTAATGATCTCCCAGTCTCCTCTTCCACCCGCCAGCTTGTTCAACCTTTGGGAGACACAAACCCACATTTAACTACATTTAACATTGGTCCCATCTGCTTTTTGCTTTGGCTTTGGCTAGTACAAGTTCAATTTTGTTTAATCTACGTACGATTTTTAACATGGTATGGGCTGATAGGATGACCAAAATTTAAACATAACACTAAACGATAACATCTGCAAAGCGAATGCATAAAGTTTACATGTACCTTCACACATGATTTAGCCCAACACACTACGCTGTTTATTGTTACTCGTACACATTCATATTCATTTACATGGTGACCAGCCCCTCTAACTCTGTCCTGCCTTAAAATGTAACCCAACACCATAGGATGTCTACTACAGCACCTGTCCAGGTCATTGACTTTGTTTGTTTGTTTGTTTGGAGAAGAAGAGGAAGAAACTGAACCAAAACTATGTGCTCATTTTGCGAAGGTAAACAAACAAGACTGGCAATTCAAACATACATTGCCATGGCGACGGTGGTTGCTGATCGGGTTATTGTTTGCATGTCACTGCCATAATTTCATAATTTTGAGGAAGCCAAGTGGGAACCCGTTGAGTCTACACAGCTACAGTGCACTCCTCCCCCGAGTGTATAGTGAACGAGCCCCGGGTCACAGAAAATAGGCATTCGGGCAGACAGGTTTTCCCAAGGTTTTCGAGGAATGTGACCATAGATATGTGTCAGCAAACAGAGCTGGGAGACATTCCTGTGGACATTCCATGCCTGTGAACAAAATGCCTGTACCATTCCTAGAATTCTTGTAAACTGCACACAATACTGTACCATTAGTCTCCTCCCTGAGACGTCGCCAAAAACTTACTTATCATGAGTGAACACGTATCATACAGACGCTCACCGTCTTTCACTCTGGCACTTGCCGCGGCTCTGTCCGATCTCCAGTCCGTAGGTGACCACGATGATGACCAGCTCCAACACGGCGAACGCTATGGCGGTTTTGTCAAATAGTTTTGGCGGGTCGTTCTCCGGGTCTTTGTAGGCGTTGTATATAGCATAGACGAAGTTCATGAGAAATAGACCGTTGGCGACTAGGGCAAAGACATACCTGAAGAGGGTACTCAGGACTTTGCCGGTCTTTTGGATGACTCTGTCTTTGGCGTTGGAGAAAGATTTGTAGTTCTCTCCTATAGACCTCTGTTGTACCTAAGATGGTGAAAAGTAATGCTGTATCAAAACTGTTGATAAAGTTGATCTAAACTTTAAACTTTATTCATTCAACCAACCTTGCAGTACACACATGCATTTGCATTGAACTGAATTGTGTTGATCTTACATTCTAGATTTGCTCTAGATTTGCATATTTGCTCTAGATGTATATATTAATCTAGATTTGATCTAGATTTGCATATTTTAGTTTGAGCCATATTAGGGTAAGTTTCCTGCAGTGATATTCGTCGTTTGTAATTGATAATTCAGAAATGAATGAATGATGAAAAATTAAGACCTTTATTGTACACACTGGGTAAAGTACAGGTCATAACAAAAGAATACACATGGTATACAGATACGTATTATATAATTGTCAAGTATCTGCAACTAAGAGAATTCGACTTCTTAGTAATTGAAAAAAATAAAAAGGTAAGAACAAATATAATTCATAATCGAAGGTTTGTCAAAGTTCATTAGAAGTATATATTTGTCTGTAATGATTTAATGTTACATGCGTTGTATCAGACTATAAAAATGTACATTAATATCCATGCAATGCCCAAATGTTGTACGTAAGACCGATACCATTTTACAGACAGTGATGTGATACTTACTTGTGTAGGGCGGATAAATGTTGGGATGTCAGCAATTTCGAGGGGCGGTATCGCTTCACGGAAGAGCCCTTGAGTCTGTGTACATAATAAAACCACGGTGTAGGGTCAGTGGGTTTTTCAAATGTACAGTTCGGAGAGGTTGGATAGAATTCAAGGTTACAACTTGCAACATGTTACGAAATACCAACGAAACTCTAAGTCTAAAGTCATTTTAATTCAAGTTACTGACCTGAGGTTCACTCTCAGACAAGGCAGCAGAACTTTGTTTTGTTAACGACGGTTCCTGTCGCATAAGAACATATGATTAGAACTACTAGTCAGTGTGGTATATGTGTAATCTCCAAGCAGATCCTAGGGTGGCAAAAGACAGTATTCCCACCCTTGGGTAGCATATAGACCCTCTATGGCGAATAGATACTGCCTGGTCAATTTGTCCATTCAATAGCTCGACAACAGAAGGGGCTCTGACAGGTTATGGTAATGAAATATCGTTGATGTACGATAGTATCTTGTTGTATTAGCTTTGATACGATTGGTTTTCAACCGTTACCTTAAAGACTAACTAGCCTTCCTACAAAGTACAGTGACCTGCAATCTACAGTGAAATGTACCTCGTCTTCTGCTTTACCTAAACTACAAAATTGGCAGCAATATAGGGAAACATTTCTGTTAGGAGGTTTAACTTACCACTGGTATGGTGATGTCAGGTTGTACCTTGTTGTGTTTTTTGAGAGACATGGTCACAAACCGGGGAGGGTCCTGGAATGGTTCCTCTGATGATTCCGTCTCTTCAGTATCAGCAACAGGATCCATGGCAGGCGAGTTCTCGCCATTTGAGGTTTAAAACTCGAGAACTTCCCTTTAAGCAATGCTAATCCATTCTAAAACTTAGCTTAATCCTAGTTCAAATCTCACCCGTTTGTACAATGATTACCACTTCGTACAAGCCAGGTAACGACCATTCCTGTTCAACAGCACCCTATGTCTGATTTAAACGGAAGGTACACTAGGGAATACAGGCAACGTGCAACGACAAGTCTGTTACGCTCACACAAGTCGAATCCATGACAACATTTTGTGCCACCACAACATAACATGGCCACCCGTGGAAGCAATCAATTGCCTTTATCTTTCTATAGTCGTCAAGTTTTGTGCCAGAACCTTTTGAAGTCAGCAGGAATTCCCGTTACAAAGTGGTCTTTGATTGCATGATGTTGTTGACTTACTCCGCCGTTCACACAACTGTATCTGGATACCCTTTGTTCCACGAGTATTGTGAAAAGTGGCCAACAAGAACTTTTGTACCAGTGCTACATTGTTAAACCGTGGGCATTGGAATTTCTCACACCGACCTGTAGCACCTTAAAGACATTTATTTAAAGGTAGAATGTGAGTCAAAACATGGTGAATAATGACAATTCTTTTAAAAGTAAAAAACGATTATTTTTGATAACATGAATTTCGTTGATTTGATAACCTTTATTGTTGATTTTTGGTTGACACATTCATGAATTCAGTTTATGACTTAAGTATACATTTATTTCGATAAAGGTAGCAGCAAAGCATATGAAATAATTGTTTTTCTAATAACTTGTTTTTGTTAGAAGGTACATCACTATTCACTGTTCATCTGATTCTGATGATATTTCTTACTAGTTTTGAAAGATATATATCTTAATTTACTTTTATGATCGGAATAATCAAAATCATAGTTTTTGATGCTTAGGAATCACCATTGTTTAGCAATCACGTCCTAAAGCATGTATTACATGCAACAAGCTTTAAGGGGGGTATCATTTTTCATTTTTGCATAAAAATTGAAATATTTCAATTGAAAAATCTTCTTGTAATTGTGTTTTTCTCACACTTTTTAACATACATGTACTAGTATTTGTGCTATTATAATTATCTCACATTTCTGACATTTATGGTTGGCGCTAAAAACCGACCACGCAAGGTGCGATCAGTTTGTGGTACCACCACAAAATACCAGAATGTAAACAAGCAGCCGTGTTTCCAGCTTTTAGCACACTCGTAAGGCGTCATATTTTGGCATCTCGACTTCCTAAATGGCAATGGAGTAGAGTTTATTCAAATTACTTTGTAAATTGACTTTTTGTATCGTATATTATAATGTATATTATAATGTTACATAATGCAGCTTTAACCGTGTAATGACAATATCTAATAGCTGTAATATAACGTCTACAAAGGTAATGGTCTTTGCGTATGTAAATTTAATACTAAATGTAGCTTTTAAGCTAGGCAAAGAGAAAAGTCCGTCTCTATGTAGAATTTTGATGAAATCAAATGCTGTCATATTTGCTTTGCTTCCGACATGGGCTGATGACAAGCACCGCGCCATCCTGAAGGAACACAAAGATCACATGTATAATTAGTTAATATGAATACATAATCCACGTGTCTAACTGACTATATAAAAGATAATGCACATTATGCACTATGGGTGGCCTTTTGGGTCTGGTAGGCAAATGTTAACTCGGGTGGCCATTTTGATCGTATCCTATCCCCTAATGAATTTAATCTGCTTGAAGATTACAAAGTGATCCCTTTCTTCACACACTATGTCTTATACATGTACATGCTACTACTGTTAGTTACACTATATTGTATTGTTATCACTATGCTTTCAGGTTCATTAATTTCTATAAACATCTCACGATCTACTTTATGTTGCCTATGTACAATTTCTCTATGTAATCTTATTGTATCTACAAATGTATGTTTTTTTCTTGGCTTCCTTGGAAATCAGCTGACGTAGCTGTAGGAGATACCTAGACGTCATTAAGATGAAATAGATATTAAATATTCATTTTTCTCAGCCTAATTGCCCAATATGACAAATATGAGAAATGTTAAAGTTAAAAACTTTGTAAACTGACCTTGACGAGCACAGGTAGATCCTTCCAGAACTCGACGTTGGGAATCCGCTCGGCTCCTGACGCCTTCTTCACCAGAGACATGAAGAGCACCCCTCCCACCAGGTACACTACCAGCACCACTAACACTCTGGAGAAACATACGGACAAGTTGGTACGATGTATCTGTGTAACAGTAAGCGTTTATTTTCCGCCTCAACCGAAATTTTTCCAACGCCAATTCGATAATGATTGTTCTGTTTTCTTAAAACACACACAAAATCATTTATGAATCACATTAATATAATACAGTCATTCTGTATCTGTATCGGTACAGTCGGTATAACCGCCCTTCCGCGTAACACACCAGCCGTGGTAATAATACACCATTCCTTCAAGTGCGGGAGTTATCAATCAAGGATTGAGATGTTCAACAGTTTCTGTTTTCCTAGAAAGTACACTAGCATCATCACTAAACAGCTTAACCAGAGTTAGATGCATTGTTCAAGGGCTAGGTGTAACAAGTCGTTCGGTGCAATTTAGCCAGCTGTCGCCACGCTACGGGCTTGCGAAGCTGGTGTGTTACGCCGATGGGCTAGAAATATTACATTATTAGATGCATTGAGTGATTGTTAACGCCATTGCTATGGTAGTGTACAACTATCCGTGAGTCTATGAAACAACATTACTCACATGATGACGAAAATTGTCCCGCCGCTGATTCCACCACCACCACAGCCACTTGACGCTCCAGGACATGCGCACGGGCTTTTCAGCTCAAATTTCTTTAACAAGTGACGACAACATATTTTTGTTCATACAAGTATAATAAGAACTAATATCTTGCAATGTGTTAATACGTACAAATAATTCTTAGGAAAGCTGACCCATGCTCCAAAATATCTTTAACAAGTGAGCATTACATGACACACATTTTGTTCTTTATGTCATCTATCCAACTCTTTATAAGGAAGAGTATTTGATAAGAGTATTTGATAACCACGAAAAAGTCATCGTACTTACGTAGATACTGACACTACTATCCTCCCCAAGCACGATGAATTCTGTTGCTCCTGACGTGCACGTTAGGGCGATCTCAGATTGTCTAAGAAAGTTAAAACAGGTGGACACTAGAAAAGTAACATTTGCAAAGAAAATGCATAGTGTTTACCTTCACATGGTTTAGCCAACAAACAACTGCATTTTGTATATCTAAGAGCCAAGCACATCCATTATACATATATGTATGGTGACCAGTCCCTCCAACTCTGTCTTACTACAAAATGTCCGCTATAGCATCAGTTACCATGGTAACAGACGTCTGGTCCAGGACATTGACTTAACAATAGGTGTTCGTTTGGAGAAGTAAAAGAAGAAGAAAGTGAGTAAAAACAATATTTTTTTATTCTGCGAAGGTAAACATAAAAAGCGTTATGATTTTGGGGGCGGTGTTTTTTCTGATTATACTATTTCTGTTTATACTATTTAAGCCAGGTATAGAAAAATTCATAAGTGTATGCCTTAGCCCATCACAGCTGCAGGCCGCTTCTTACCTGTTATCAGGTGCCGGGCCTGTATAACCCAGCTTGACCGTAGTGTTATCCCCGGTAAACGCGGCAGAGTCCTGCGAGCCCAGGCTGTAAGTCGTCTGACCGTCTGGACTTAACTGACATGCCTGTGGTAAGGATTGTTTGAATAGTTTGTAGTAAAAAAAGACCAAAGGGATGTAAAATATACCTTCTGCCAGCATAGTAATGTACTTGTACTAGAATGTTCAAGACATCTAATTCAATTTCGGGATGAGGAAATCTATCTGTTATTAATATTTTACTACCAGTTTTATCACAATATCGGCATCATTTTGTACTTATAGTGTTTGAAATATCCCCAAAACAAGTTAGTGTGGCATCACTTTATTTTGGGTACCACACCTAGATAGCTAGAACCACAAATTCATAACTAGAACCAGCATACAATACAAAACAAGCAACCGTTTTCCGTTACTGACATACCAATTCTTAACAAGTGCTAACTTTACAAAGTTGTCTGATGGTTATTCGCACACAACTTCCACGTACCGCAACGTCCATGCAAGAACCTCCTTCGCTAAACGGACTGCACGGGTTCCACGAATACACGAAGTCGTCCAGAAACTGTGTTGCCTTCAGGTCTTTGTATCTACAGCACAGAAAAATACAAGTCAAACATTGACCGTCATCTTTTGGCATAGTCATATGTCTGTCGTACTACCTAGCTTAGTGCCTTACGTGGTCATTTGGCTTTGCATTGAGCAACACTGTTAAAAAGGAACCCTCTAATATTCTGGCCAAGAACTTCATGAATTTAAAATCCATATCCGAGAATTACTCTATTTCAGATCTAGATGTCTTCAATTAGGCTGAGTGGACCATTGTTCAGTAGAGATGCAGTAGCCACAGAAGGAAACGGCCAGTTATATACCGCACGTACTCATGACTAATCTGTTTCCGAGTCAAAGTTCACCATTCCTATAAAGGGGAGGGGCAAATAGGTAACATAATGGTAAATCGTAAATCGTACAATGCATTCAGTTGCTACTATAGTTATTACAACTTTAGCTGTCTCCATAAGCCATGATTCAATAATTTAAAAAAATGATATATAACACTAGATGATTAAACAAACTATTATACACCTGAAAGTTTCTTTATTGACTCGACTAACGTACAGGGACATTCTTACAATGTATGTTCTACTTCAACTAAGATCAAACAAAATTAAATACATGTATGTATATATAAAGTCATACTACGTACAGAATATATGTCAGCGGCAACACTAGATGTTTAACAATTCTCTATAGTGCAGTCTCTGAGATTTAAACATTCTTTACCGTATATAAATGATCGACGAAATAGTTGAAAACCTTATACGTACAGAGGGTTTCCAGAGCCGATAGGTGCGAGGTTTATAATTCCTGAAGGAAGTCGGCAAGAACAACTGTCAATCTTCTGACATTGCGTGAACACACTCCGTGGTCCGATGAGTAGTACCAACAACAGGGACAAATAGAAACCCTGCCATATATAGCTATGAACTTTCATGGTGTCCCTACAAGTTAACCACACCGCTTGGTATATCTTAACCAAATATATCGTACCCTCTTGGTGCTGGACTGCAGTTTATTACTGATAAAGTACGGTGTATACAGTCGAAGAACTGCTTGGTGCCCATAAGGGTGCAGTGTTTGCACCGATACGCCTCTTGGGTAATGTTGAACAACTCTCACAAGAACAACACGTGAGATCTGGTGTTATCAAGGGTCATGTTTGTACCCAGGGTTAGGCATTAACTTTATTGTGTAGTATCTATACCGTGTTCTGTGGGTTAGAGCACAACCTACAGTCTAACCTAAAGTTGTCTTTTCACTACAGATATGCACAAACATATATTAATTTGTATCACATTCATGTGACGACCGGCTGGTACGATTGCAAGTATACCCATAGATACATTTATTATTATGCAAGCAATATGCGGGATATGCATCAATTATGAAATATGTACATTCGTCTTACGTTTCTGAAATCTATGCATTAGCATTGCAGTTAATGACTCCTTGTGTCAGCTCAATTACTTTGCAACCACAAACAAATTGCGACAAAATAGGTAATATGATTGCATTAAATGTCACTGTAGCTTGACGACTTGGAGCACGGACTTATAAGAAGTCTTCCACCATCCTGCAACAGAACAAATGAATTGAATTATAAATATCATATCACAGAGGAAATCCCTGACTATTGTAATTACGAGGTCCTTTATGCTTTTGCTGAAATCAAACAAAAATAACTATTTTCTGTGTACAAGAAACGTTACATGTACAAGCAAGTAATACATAACTAGACAGAGGAAATAAAAACTACTGTAACTCCTAAATCTACTGGGTTTACTTCTTTTTTGAAGACAGAAGAAGACCAAAGATCATTGAATAAGGCAAGCCTTCACAATTTCGGCAATGAAACTGTGTCCTGATGCTTACTTTGACTAAAGCTGGTAGATCTCTCCAGAAGCCGATGTTTGGAATCCTCTCCATTCCTGTGGCGTTTTTAACGAACGACATGTACAACACACCGGCTATCAGGTACACAGATACCAGCACGATGAATCTGTAAAACACAAGAACTTTTATTGTATATATCGTATCTCTACTGCTACATATAATACCTACCTACACCTATGATATAGCAAGTATGGCACAATGATTGGTATATTACTCACATAATGATTAACACTGTTCCTCCACTCAGTCCGGTTCCTACATTCACACAGGCAGCAGTAGCTCCCGGGCATGCGCACGGGCTCCGGAGCTCGTACCCCTTTGTTAAATCAAGAAAAAAACAACAGAATTTTAGCGAAGACATTGTTGCATATTCTAACAGTCATTCTTCTTTTCCGTATTAGGCCACACCGCCTTAATTTTATGGATGACATCCTCCGAAGACCCCCAAACTAGTGCGCGCGGGCGAATGAAAAAAAAATTCCAGCCAAAAATAAAAATGCTACTAAACCATAGGAATACAAAGCTGGTATTGTGAATTTGCGGCAGTACTTAGCGATGTATACGACAAGCCGGCACATGCTGGCTTTTTGCGGAATTTATGAATCGGCACTGTACGTATGTACTGAATTCTTGAGTCGTGGAGCTTCGGTAGCCTGGGTGCCCAGCTCCGTATTGTTGCTAACCACTACCCAGGCCTAGAGCCAGGCCAGAGCCTCGGTGGACGTGATCTTTTTATTCTATTATTTTTTTTTTGAGAACAGGCGAAAATTAATGCGCGCGCGGATGTCATCCATAAAATTAAGTCGGTGTGGCCTTATTTGAGAAAAAACAGCGATTGTAGCTTCAAATCCCAAATCTCCAACTGACAGTTATAAATAGAACTTCCATTGTTGCATGGGGGTATAGATATTGGAACACTTCACATTTTGGACAGGGGTGATTTAGGAACAGTCCATTTGTGCAGAAGGGGATAGGTCCATTTTTGATGCGGGGGATGTGGTGAAGCCATTTGCTGCACTTGCTCTCGGGCAACTTTCGGCCTTTCTAGTTTGCACGTTAAATTTAGGTTTTTCTTTCATTGATAAACATCACTGGATATTGACCGAAACGTCTCATAAAACCTTATCATGATCTCTATATACATTTTAACAAAAAGGGTTTGAAATGTATTAAATTGAGAATACAGAAACCAATACAAAAGGCAGTTTGTGAAAACTTACGTAGGTGCTTCCGGTTTGATCTTCTCCAATCACAGTGAACGTTGTTGGACCGGACGTGCATGTCAACGTCACAAGTAATGTCCTGAAAAATATGACAATAATCTTCATTTATAAAATCATGCCCGGAGGCTGATTGCTTGTATAGTGTCAACGAAAGTAACATAGGAAAAACTATTGGAAACATACAAGTACTGTCTGATCAACTTTTACTACTACATGTATTACGTTTGCTATTATGGGGTTTGACGTTTCTTTGAAGGCAGTGGATAATGAATAGTCCCACGTTCTGCATAATGCGTAGGTTTTGTGATCTTAGTAGCAACATAGTCTTTTGATGGTCTTCTAAATAAATATAAAACAAACTTCCGTCTAATAATGGTTTAATCCCTTCGATTTTGTAGTTACAATCTATACTTGTCAAATGAAACATTGTGAATAGAAATAACACATTCACACATCTAGCTCAAAGCTGGTACATATACATCTGCATCTTTTTGCTAAACTGTCATTTCTTGTCAATTCTTCGCCAATGCAAGACGTATCATGTATGTATCATGCAAAGAAATTCTTTACTTTACCTTACTCCGCTTGTGTACATTAACAAAACCGTCCCGTCTTCGGCCGATCCGAAGGAAGCGCTGTCCTGCGTCCCTAAGTTGTAGTTGTCTCCGGTATCCGGGTTGGTTTGACAACCCTGTGTGAGCATGTTAGAGTCAGAATTGTGTTATAGGGGAAACCACGTGTTTAAAGCACCCAATATAATTAATTTCAGGGCAGAAATTGCATTGGATGTCTTTAAATCTGCCCGGCATAGTACGCTATGAACATCCGATTTTTTTTACTCTATTAGAATTCGAATTTAATCAAATTATTTTGAAATTATGACCTTGAATGATGTTGTGAATTACATTGAAATTCCATATATATCTATCAGGTCATATATATCAGGGCACTCCTCCAGCCATCACTTAACAGAGACGGTGGACGATATAAACTCCCTGGCACTTTTGATCAATTGCTTACGTCATGTATCCGTAAAATCTCTTGTGAATAAGGCCACTTGTCTGTAACCGTAACTCTCGCGAGATTACGTTTTGAAGTGATTGGTCATTCATTATCCTGATGAAGGCGACAGTGGTTGTTGAAAATTTGTGAAACTTTGTGTTGGAATAAAGTTCCACATTTTACTACATTGAAATTCATATCAGTTCGTAGAAAAGCTGGTGCTTACCGCCACTGACTGGCAGTCTCCGTCATTGAAGGGTTGACAGGGGTTCCAGTCATACAGGTACGAGTCAGGAGGCTGGGTGGCCTTATAACCTTTATACCTTGTGTGATAAATGACCACATTGTTCATTAGTAATTACAAAAAGAGATACTGTAAATCATTTTATGTTCACGGTAGCAAAAGCTCACAGTCTTAGAAAATTGATGTTCACGGAACTATATGATTACGGTGGCGGCAGCTGCGGAAAAAAAGAAAGTCGGCAAATTTATTTGCAATTTGTTAACGGTAGTGATAAGTTCGCGGTACAGAAATGACCACGAAAACCGCGAACATTTAAGTACCGTGACCTATGATAGATCTATATCAATTAGATATGTTTGCATCCACTTAGGTTTGGTCTCATCGTTCATTATTGAGCATATTAAATGTGGAGTTAACTACTGATGTAGTGTTTGCCGGCTGTTTTGTTTGCAGAGCAAATACTTGTCAGGTGAGGACATATTTGACAACGTCCTGCATGGTGATAGAAAGTCCCACGTACACAAAATGTAGATTGATGGAATTGTAGTTTTGTGTCGTCCTACAAGCTTAATAAGATGATAATACAATGCTCTTGTTGATGTATAAAAAGTAAGCAAAATCATGCAGGAAAAATGGAACGCATACGACGTGTATGCAACATTTGAGCAACTAGTTTGTAAAGCAACACACGGGGGGGGGGGGGGCAGGTTTCTCAAATAGTTCAGTCTAAATTTTGCAAAAAAAAGGAGAGCTTGCTCAAAACCACCATTGCTACAACGTACACTCTAGCTCTGTCAGATGTATTAGCGATATAAACTCTCCTACAAAGGAACTTACGGGTAGATACATACAGCAAATGTTTGCCAAGATAGAAATTGATGTTATATAGAATCCTACCCTTACCTTGCAGTGCCGTCTGTAGATGCCAGAGGGGAAAGATCTATAACACCAGATCCGTCCGCCATGGTACACGAACATGAGTTGACCAAGTTGCAGTCCGCCGAACACGCTTCCCGTAAGGTAGACAGAAATACCAGGGTTACCAGCAGAAGGATGCTACGGAGTCTCAGCATAGGATATTCTGAATGCCCCATATCTGCGTATTGAGTTGATACAAACTGACGGTTTTTTTTTCAGTACTATGGTTGAAACTTCAGTAGAGGTGACTGTGCAATACTGAGAAATTCCACAATGTAGCTGCTCTATGTTAGTAGCGTAGTACTACGTAATGTTTGACCTTTGCTCTATGGCTCGTGCTGAACGTACATGTGTAAGCTTATACAATCACGTGTTGATGACCAGTGGACCACGTGTTACAGTGTGTCATCCATTAACGCTTTGGAAAACTTCGTATTTTGAGTTGATCCCAAAAGATATTTTTAAAACATGTCGTTTTGAGTAAATAGGTTACTACTGAGTATTACTATAAGTCATATCGATAATGAGTCTCTTAAACTTTTGTTACACGATTCCCGTTTTATAAGAGTTTCATACTCGGCATATGTTATGATAGATTTTACATTGTAGTTGCGGTCACTCACCCCTTTGTTTATACGACACATTTCTAGGCCAGTATACTTAGCTATCTCAAATATTAGTGCCATTCTGTATGCAGTGTGTACATGGAACGAACCATTTAATTTATGATAAGAACCATGTGTGTCTGGCTATTAGGTAATTAAAATATGCCAATTATTAATCCTGCACAGATACATGTGAGAACAAGAACTTGATAGAACGTCCTTGTTGAGAATAGATATGTTTATTGCCTGAACTACTGGTAAACATAAAAACGCCATTTATTTAAGCTGTTACTACATATGTTTGTTTGGTTGTTCATTTATTCATCTAAACAAAAAAGTACAAGATAAATAGATAATACAGTAGATATAACAGGTGCAGGGAGAGCGGACTAGGCCCTCTATATTTAAAAATATAATATAATCAAAACTTCATGTCTCAAAAGTGTTACGATTGCATATTGGGATGGATTGTGAGGTGTGTTCTTTGGTTATCTCTAGATCTCCTTGTATGCTGCTGTTCGTCGGCAGGGGGAAATGATGAAGAAAACCCCACTCTGTGTGGGAAACAGAAAAATACCTCAGATTAGAACAACAGAATAACACGAACCAACAATTTACCTATAGTTGGGCCATGTTGATTCGATTATATGGATGACATCCTCTGGGAATCCCAAAACTGATGCAAGCGTGCGGAAAAAATAATTTGGCAAAACAATCAAATCTACGTATTCATGAAGGTTGAACAAATGTGTGGTATGGCGGATATTTTATTTACTAAGATTTTCAGAGAAGAAACTGATAATAGACTTCATTTTCATTTCTTCACGTGTTCTTCTATTCCTTTGGAATTGATTTTGGCATTCACCAGGATTAGTATCCTTTATCATTTTTTAAAGTTTCGTACCTTGATGTGATCTGGCAGATTCTTCCAAAACTGCACATTTGGGATGACCTCTGACCCTTGTTTTCCCCTGATGACCTTGTTAAATATGGCGCCCACCAGAAAATACCCGGCAAATGCAGACACAGCTCTGGCGAGTAGATATAGAAGTTTGAATTCACAAGGGGACCAACAATACAAGTTTGTAAGAGAGATGTACTAAAAGAATAAAACATGTTACAGAACCATCTGACCAACTTATGTCAAGTCAAAGTTTATTGCACAACATTTGCATCATATGTGGAAATAATGGATTCGTAACAACGTATAAATCATCTATACTAGTATACTAAACTATCTCCATTATTCCATACATGGTATTAATGGAATAATACATTCAACAGTGTTATGTCACGATTTCGCTTTAAAAGGGTGATATTAGGATTATTTTGGAAAGAAGGAGAATGAGAACAGGTTGTCTTGTTACTTACATAATCAGAACGACTGCCCCGGCACTCAGACCCGGCCCGGGAGGAGGGTTAGGGGCCAGAGTAGGGCTGTAGCCGGCACAGTCCGCATCCGCACCCGGGCAGGCACAGGAGCTGTTTAGATAAAACAACTGGGAGGACATAACATAGGCTAGATGCCTTATTTGTGGTAAACGCACTACCTACACACACACGCGCGCGCGCGCGCGCACACACACACACAAACACACACACAAACGCACACACATACACACACTGACATGTCGACAAACACGCACACACACATTCACACACACACACACACACACACACACACACACACACACACACACACACACACACACACACACACATACACACATGCAAACACACACACTATGGCACACACACACATAGTCACACATACATGCACGTATACTAAGCCAATGTGAACTAGAACAGCATCTATTATGGTTATGTAGTAACGTTTTTCTTACGTATGAATTCGGAAAGAGGTCCTCCCCGTCCGCTGTGAACTGGGTTTCACCATCTGAGTTACACGTCGTGATTATCAAACTCGATCTATGAAAAGGGAGACAAGGACCGAGACGATTATATTTACGGGATAAACTGGAGGAAAAAGGATGAGGTAACAGGTGGAAGGCATTCCTCGGTCTTGTAGTACACAAGAGTACCTCACGAGACCGAACTCTTACTATGGAACCCGACTCCTGGAAATAGAAGTCTTGGAAGACTGCGCATGACCTACATTAAACAGCTAAAAGCTGACTAGTTGAATTACTACAAGTCAGTTGATTGCAGCGATGGACGACAGAGTTATGGATCGAGACAGCTAGTTATGGCGAGATTCCGAGCGAGCTCTACGTATTGAATGAGTGATTGGGTGAGAGAGTGAGTGAATGAGTGGATGATGAGTAAAAGTGTGAGTGAGTGAGTGAGTGAGTGAGTGAGTGAGTGAGTGATTGAGTGAGTGATAACCTATACCTTTCTCCGTCCGCAGAGGTATATTTGAACGATACAGTAGTCGATCCGGTGATGGGGTCCAGGTCGGCCTGGATTTCTACCGAATCATGACGGCCGAGATCATAGTACTCCGAACTGCCATTCTTTTTCTGGCAAAGCTACGAAAACAAAAACAACAAACATCAACAGGGAATAAATGGAAACTGCAGAAAGATATATTTCAAGATGTAAACGCCTACTGTTTCTAATCATACAGTAACCTACATTTATAAAATTACCAAGAAGTGAGGTAAGTACGTGTGTATAAAGTAGTAGACGTTTTATGCATCTAATATATGTGTTGTATATAATCATTAACATGTGACCTGTGCTTAGCCCAGTGGGGCAAAATGTACAATAAAGGTCTTCATCCACCTATACGTTCTAGGAAAGCCAAGTTCAGAGAGTACTTAAGAAAGTTAAGGAAAGTGTACCGCCACGCCTTTGCATGAGCCTTCGTTGAATGGTTCACACGGGTTCCAAGAGTACAGAAATTCGCCAGAAAAATCAGGAACGTCCTTAAAGCTGAAAACAAGCCATTCAACGGTGGTCAGAGAAATACAAGTATCTGCATCTGAAGCTTGCCCATTACAGACGATATCTTTTCCTACATAACTTTGGGAAACTACAGACGGAGTGTTAACCTTACATGCGCAAATACGACCTTAAATGGGACGTTCTGCCGAAGTGCTATGCACAATACATCACGGGTTTCGCGCTGGTGCAGTGCATTCTGCTGACGAGCACAGTCAATGTCATGACTGATACTTACGTAGGGATTTGGTTTCCCGCCAACAGAGGCCTGAGGTTGACCTCCCCTGACCCGTCACTCATGCGGCAGGAGCACGGTCCCGTCTTCTCACAGGTTGGAGGCTTCCCTCTGGCACATTCTGGATCCGTATTGGGGCATGCGCAGGGGCTCTCTAGCTGGAAAGTCTGTGGCAATACATTTTTATATTCTACAACTTTGTGCGACAATTGCAAGCTCCTAAGAAATACAAAGCTAGGACCAACAAAACGCTTACGGAAAATACGTACAAAAAGGGCCTTACATAAGAATTCTCAGTTGTTTGTCCTTCTGCTGTAAACGTGGTAGTGTCACCCGTGGTACATGTCGCCACAACCGTACTTGCTCTGAAGGAAGAAAAATGTTACTGGTGTACATGTGCTGCTATACAAACCATGTATCTTTAGCTCTATATGCTCGTACATCTATAACTGCGCCAAGAAGCCAGACGAATTTGAACATGAAAATAGTAGATCACATTAGTATGTATAGTTTAAGTTTCATTGCTGTATCCTTTTCCTTGTCTACTCATGACCTGTACTTAGCTTGTTAGAGCACAAACGTACAATAAATGTCTTTCATTCATTATTACCTAATGATAACGATATATATTTGCAAAATCATCCCTAATTGATTGCACAGTGTCAAAAGTAAAATAAAGCAATAGTAGACATACAACTACTGTCTGATCAACATGTACTACTACGTTTGCCCACCTTAATGTGAGATGAACCTTTAAGGTAAATCTTTACCTATCTCCGTCTGCAGATAAGTAGGCTAAGGAGATGACGACGTTCCCGCTTGAGGCATCTTTGCCGCCTGAGATCTGCACCGAATCCTGCTTCCCGATATCAGCATACTCCGAGCCGTCACTGGCGCTTTTACATGCCTGTCATGATTCCGTGACGCTCACGTTATAGTGGTCTTCAATTCATCTTTATGTTTAATCTTTACTGCATTAGATAAAGGAACGTTTGTCACATTCAAGAATTTTGCCTCCCGAATACTAGCCGAACGTCGACCAACCACGGTTAGGGGTAGGTCGGCGCAATGTCTCTTGGTACTTGGCGAATTCGCATTCGGCTGCGCCAGCCGAATGTTTCAAAATGTTTAAAACATTTGGGGGTTGGTCGGGAGGTTTGTCCATGGTTTGGTGCATAAGTCAGCAGACCACCGGTACTACCCAACCAATCAAATTAACTCAAATTCGTTTCGATTCGTATAGAAAGGTATGCATGAATCTGGTCAGGGTGTTCCGAACGTCAGCCGAAGAAAGAAACAAACAACAACTTTTTTTATACTTTGTAACACTCTGTTATATCATCTATATTGTTTACCGGTTTTTATTTAGTTTTGTAGTTATGCATGTGGTTTCATTTTGTTTCGTTGTGCCATGCTTTCTTTTGTGTGAATTTTGGAAACAATAAAAAGAATGATTTATAAAAAAAAACAAAACAACCTCTACTTACCGCCACGTCTTTACATGAGCCCTCAGAGAAAGGTTCGCATGGGTTCCAGGAGTACAAGAATCCATCGGGAAAAATAGTTGAATTGTAATCCCTAAACCTAAAGGAATGATTTACACCATTACTATAGACTCCAGGAAGAATCACTCATGATGATCTAAAACAAACAAACAAACAAACAAACAAACAAAAACATTTAGGTTTAGGACTGTTTATCATCGGACCTATGAAAAAACACCAAATTACTTACGTAGGGTTCCCCGATAGTAGGAACTGTAAGTTGATCTCCCCTGACCCGTCACTCATCCTACACGAGCACGGTCCGGTCTGGTTACATGTAACCGGCTTCTCACCGGCACAGTCCGGTCCGGCACCCGGGCAGGCACATGGGCTGCTCAGATCAAACACCTGGAACGGTATCCATGAGAATATACTACTACTACTACTACTACTACTACTCTACTAATACTACTACCACTCTACTACTACTACTTCTCTACGACTTCTACTACTACTACTACTACTACTACTACTACTACTACTACTACTACTACTACTACTACTATCATTACTACTATTACTACTATTACTACTATTACTATTACTACTACTCTACTACTACTACTCTACTACTACTTCTACTACTACTACTACCACTACTACTACTACTACCACCACTACTACTACTACTACTACTGTTACTACTAGTAGTGATAGAGCTTATAATCACGTACGTAATAATTTTCCGCTTTCTCTCCTTCCACCGTGATGTTAGTTTGACCAGTTGTGCATTTTGCGATGACCACACTTGATCTGAAAACAGAATTTGAAACTTAAGATAAAAGACATTACTATTGTATTATATAGCTGCACAGGTAGGAGTTGTTCTAGGACGATGGTAGAGGTAAGTTCTAACACATAGTCCACATAAGTACTCAAGCAACTTACGAAAAGTATAGGATGCTACTTGAAACGTCTGACAGTTTTAAAATCTATCTAGTTGCTTGAGTAACAATGTCATTGGGTGTCTAACCTTCATCGACGTATACGTACTCACAGATCAACTGTTGAATTTTAAATCTTCGTACGTTGTTACCTTTGCAACACAAGTACCTTTATCAAACTTAGACTAAAAAGATAAGTCGCTCTACCTCTTTCCATCTAAAGATCTGTAGCCAAATTCAATGGACGTCTCCCCAGTCTCAGGATCCTGGCTGGCTGAAATCTCGACGTTATCTTGAGTTCCAAGATCCTCATACTCGGAACCGTCCTTCTTCTTTCTACAAACCTTAGAAAGGGAACATTTTCATTCTGTTACGATTGAAAGAATGAGAACAAACAGTTATCACATACAAGGCTCTTGAGCCTAAAACACAACCACTAGCAGATGCAACAACATTTGCAGCAGGAACTGCAGCCTATAGCTGAATTTTATAATACTTTTAAAATAATAAATGTGCATATGTTGGCTTACAGCGACATTCTGACACTGGCCATCCGTGAAAGATTGGCAGGGATTCCAAGAGTACAGGTAGTCATCAGGTACCGTGGTGGCCAGGAGGTCCTTGAAGCTAAATAAATGAAACAGACGTAGATTACTAGTACTTTAAATTTGTATTCTAAGGTCTATTATTTAGAATGTTTGAATTAATTTCACCGCATGTATCACTATTCTAGTTCTACTATGTTAATTCTACTATAACGCTGTGTCACTATTCTAATCCTGCTATGTTAATACTACTACAGCGTTATGTCACTATGTTTAATTATGCTATGTTAATGCTACAATAGCTATATCTCGCTATTCTAATGCTGCTAATTCTGCTATAGCGCTATGTCACTATTCTAATGCTTCTAATTCTTCTAGTATGCTAATTCTACTGTAGCGCTAATTCTGCTATGTTCCGAAGCGAACTTTGTCCCTTGTGTTCATCGCACCGTCCGTAAGACAAACCTCGGGTCGGCAGACACCAGCGGCCGTAAGTCGACCTCCCCCGACCCGTCACTCATACGGCACGAGCACGGCCCTGTCTTCTCACATGTAAGAGTCTGCCTTCCAGACACGAGCTGAAATAGCAACAGAAAATTCACAAAATCTAGAAGAAGTCTTGGGCTATGGTTAAATGGGTCCATCTTCGCGGTGGAAGTTTTCATCGAACACGAAGGGTGGGGAAAATCCACCTTTTCTTTCCACACTTTGCAAAATTGCAACGTGGTATTTAAAATGAAGGAAATTAAAGATTTGTCGTTATGCACATTGCAGATGTTCTGATATAAAATGGAAAAAAAAAGGTCAACTACCATGGAACTTTTAAAGTTGGAGGCTACTCCTACATGTCTTTTAATGGTACAGCCCAACAAACATAAACAAAGTTATCCTGTTTGATCTGTGATATCGTTAACAACACAGTATAAAGTACGAAGTCCAATAAAAAGTAGTTCATTTGAAGCTTATGCGATATTTCTAGATATCATTTATTAAGGGCACGTTTCATATCTGATAAAGTACTACGAAAAACATTGTAGTCTTCTAATGTAAAGAGGCGAGTCACTAGACCTTTTTGTTGCAGGTGACAAAATTACTAAACGAACAATGACAGAAATATCATTAATTACTAGAATAGTCTGTTTCAGTCGAGCCAATAAATACTTCGACGAAAAAAAAATTGGTTTATTCACCAACTCTTTGAAATTCATTTCTTGTCAAGGAAAGATGCCGCGGCTAATCTGTGGTCATCATCTGACGAAAGAGCAAAGTTGAAAGGTGAAAGGTCACAGCTTACATGCCCATTGATCTTTAGAACCCCCTACAGACATAGTCCAGAAGGTTGACATCAATGAGTACAAAGTTTCAGGAGCAGTTCATTTCGTAAAATACTTGACTTTTTCAATTTTCTTCCTTTGATATTTCGTTAGACTGTTTTCGTGCTAATATTCGAAGTAGGGTGAATACCAAACTTGATCAATAAAAAAATCCAACACGTAAAGTCAAAACAGAAAGACATTTTTGGATAAAATATGATGCCCCACCCCCTATATGTATATATCTGAATCAGAATGGTTTATTCTAAAAACAGAAAAGGACGACAGACACCTAGCTAACGCCATGTTTCTCACTGTAACTTGTGTGTCATTGTTGTGGTTAGTTGGGCAGGGAGTTGCCCAAAATGCAACATGTGACAGGGCCGAAACCGCCTGTTCATGTACAATGAGTGATGGTTCAGGGACCATTAACTTACAATATGTGGAGACTGGTAAACCAACGTGAGTACAACCTATTTTTTGGATGCCGTTGTGCTCAAAGTTCATGTTGATATTGATCATAGATCATTGTTTTTGCAAGTTGAAATATTGACTGCTTATAGCTTCATAAGTCGAGTTCAAGCACAACGATTGCAACAGGCACAATTTTGATCTGTGTCCAATAACATAACTTAGTATTCACACTATCTGTATCTGTATTTGTACAGCCGGTATAACAGCCCTTCAGCGTAACACACCAAACTAGTGCACGTATCTTATGCTGAGGTCACATTTCCAAGCCGGGGCCCGGCCGGGCTGTTTCAATTAACGAAAAACCAACAATTTTTATCAAGAATATACACAAATAGTTCCATTGATGATATTTCTTAATTGTTTTGTGCGTTGTTGTCTTTTATACCATATTTTTCGTTACAAAAGACAGCCCGGTCGGGCCCCGGTTTGGAAATGTGACCTAAGCATAACATCATTCTTCAATACATGATGTGATGGAATATTATATTGGTTTGACACTGTTTCTCTTTTATACGCCAACATTATATATATAGGCCTAGGTGAACTGATACAGAGTCAGGGCATGAATATCATGATAGAAGTTCGTTGGATATTTCATGTGCAGGTACAAAGACCAAGTGGCGGCTGTTCAAAAGGATGACTACCTCTACTCGTGGAACCCGTGCACTCCGTTTACTGAGGGCCCCGCTGGCGATCAGGACTCCTGCACCGACGCGGCGGTAAGGGCACGGTCACATTTCCAAGCCGGGGCCCGGCCGGGTTGTTTGCGTGAACGAAAAATAAACGATTTGTATTAAGAGTATACACAAATAGTGTTCGTGGTTAATTTTCTTAAACTTTTTATGTTTTGCTGTCTTATATCATAAGTTTCGTTCCATACGACTGCCCGGTCGGGCCCCGGGTTGGGAAATGTGACCGCGCCTTAAAGTAGTCTCCTTCCTAGACTTCTGATGCGGCGGCATTTCTTTTCTGGGAGCGACGAGAGTTATGCCGCGGAGAGACGATTTTGCTGCCGAGGGACTTTGCCGGGGAGAGACGGTTTCCGCGCATCAAGAGACCGTCTCTTCCCGGCAAAGTCCCTCGGCAGCAAAACCGTCCCTCGGCGGCATAACTCGCGTCGCTCCCCGAAAAAAAATCATCGCCCTTGAATCTAGCCGTTGAACATTGAACTTAAAATTGTTTAAAGCTATCTACTGATAGTGCCCTACTGTACTTGGTGACAGCGAGTTTCACTCTACGATAGTTCTTGGAAAGAATGAGTCTAATTTGTAGACCTCAGTGTTTAAAGACTGTGTCACGAATGTGTATCTTTTAGGCATGTCAGATTTCCAAGGATCAGTCGAACTTTTTCGGTCTCGGCACGCACGACTCGGCACAGTTTGCGGCGGACACAGATCCAGACAGCGGCGGTTTGGTAGTGAGTGTTGTCTACCAGGCAGCCTCGTCAGGAAGGTAAAGAAAATTATCATCTTAAAACTTAAATTGTTAAAGCAAAGAATAACTGATGATAAAATATGAATCTATGAACATTAATAGTTTGAAAATTCGATGTTTTGTGTTCTATTTGTAATTTCTTTCATCAGAATATGAATGAACCAAAACAAATGGACACGATCCAATTGCCAATACAAGCTCTCATGATAAATGCATGATTCGTACCTTATAAGTGAAAATATGTCTATAGATTTATTAAGACTTAAAATAATGTTAACTTCGAGTTGTGTCTGACCCTTACCTCTTCCCTCATGACGTCAATGAAAAGTGACATGCAGGCCGATTTGAGTTTCTCATGAATACAGAACGATTCAAAATATTTTCCAGAAACACGTTTTACCTTTTTTTATTTTAAACATTTATGTTTGTACAGGGCATCAGAGGTGCTGCTGAAATGCACCACGGGAGCAACCGTCTTCACGGTACTTGGCGAGCTTCAGCAGGGACAATACGTGAGTCTCTGTATTGAAATGATGAATTTTTGAAGACATTGGTATTCAGCAAGTAGAATATAACAATCGTAGAATATAACAAACATTAAAGGGGAATTGTGTAACATTTTTTTCACCCAAAATTGAAATACATTATAAAAAATCTTCTTGCGATTGTTACTTACTTCCATTTTTCAACATATTTGTGCGATTATTTCACATTTCTTATGGTTGACGATTCGATAACCCACACGGTTTGTGGCACCACCACAAACTACCAAAATGTAAACAAACATGGCTGACAGCTGTTTTTCAGCTTTTATACACGCTCGTAAGGCACCTCCACTTCCTGAATGACACTTATTTGCGATGGGGTAGGGTTGATTCAACTTACTTTGTAAAGAAATGACCCGAAAATTTACTTTTTGTATCATCCTAATGTTACATAATGCACCTTTAACAGAAAAGATCATTTTCCTTGTAGATATTCCAGCTGGAGAGCCCGTGTTGCTGTCCGGGGGCGGTGTCAGGCTGTGCTGGTGGCGGGATCAGCGGAGGATCCATCGTCCTCATCATGTGGGTACTATGTCTACACAACAACAAACTTTCAAACCACCAGACACATTCTTATGTTTACCTGTTGTTGCTCAATTTCTTGTTCTTTAAACAAATGAAGTCAATGGCCTCGACCAGACGTCTATCACCATGGTAACGGGTGCTGTAGCAGACACACTGGCGTTCTGACATTTTTAGCAGGACAGTGTTGGAGAGGTGGTCACCATATAAATAAAAATATATGAATGCGTCGAGTAAGAATAAACAGAGCAGAGGTGTGTTAGGCTTTGTATACAGGTTTTAACGTAACTAAAATGTGTGCGTTTATTACTCACTGTACCCTGCAGTGCCGCCTCAGTGATCGTGGTGTACTTTGTTGGCGGGATGATCGTCATGAAGTTTGTGAAGGGAGCCCAGGGGCTGGAAATCATCCCTAACTCGGGTTTTTGGACCGGTCTACCGGGATACATCAAGGTTTGTTTCTGGGTTAAAATTTTTCAACATTGGAGAATTTGAACTTCTACACTTGAAAAATTAGTTTCTTGCATGAATATCATATGTGTTTCTTACACAAAAGTTAAAAAACAGCTATGGTTGAATTAAAAATCTGTTTTTCTTTTTTTTTCTTTCTAGGAGGGTGTGTTGTTTATCGTGTCACCTTGCCGAAAGTCGGGAAAGTACGATTCAATCTAACCTCGGAGAAAACAAATCTTCCCACACTTTTTATCAAGTTTTTATTCTACTTGGAAATCTATGGGTGCCCTTTATACTGACATTCATAAGTCAGTTGTGACAAAAACATTGACAAAGCTGCAGAATACAAGCACATTAACAGTCATACTCATTAGGGATAGTAAAAAGATGACACGCAATTACTATATACACTTTAACATTCTATGAATGTTGTTAAGAATCGCTTCAGCAAGAGCATCCCTAGCCTCGTCTACAGAACTCAAGAGCAAGCGAAACCGAGACATAATAGCATGTTGTATTACTATCAAGCCAAGAGTTGCAGAGACCACGTTGCTACTTCTCAAAATGAAAGTATTCTAATATACGTTTTCTCTCAATGAGTCTTCTATCGATGACTGGAAAAGAAACGAAATAATGATATTGAAAGGGCGCCAGATTTCAATTATATAAATGTCTGTTTATGAGGTTATTTTAAAAAGTCGTCTCTTTAGATGTAGTTGTTCTGATAAATAATTGCTGGTTTTTATCTGTATTGCGATTTGAACGATTTTAGATATTTTAAGCGAATCGATATTGCCTGCCAACTTGTACACGAGTCTGTCAATTCAGCCTTTTGGCTGCCGGCCCCATTTGACTTGTATGTCTTTGATTTTAATAATAAACCAGTATACTAAATTACAAACGATATCGGTCCCTTGTAGGTGTAGGTGGTCTCGTGATCTCTCTCTCGTGACCTCTTTGATATTTGCTTGCCTACCTCTTTGTTTGATTGACACAAATATATCTAGGGCAGCCAAATCGCCGACCTTTGTTCATAATGTCTAACATTCGTGCGGACATGTTAGTTAAATGGGTCACCTGTAATTACTTTATGGTAAAAATAATGTATTTAGCAAAATCATTATACACTTGATACTATTTTATACCATTGAATTTATACTATTCATATATCAACCGTTTGAATTTGTGAAAGAAAACCACTAAATTATAACTTTCTGATGAATAAAAGTAAAATTTCCCTTGTGTATCCACTGAGTTGGTTTGGCCCTTTTGCAAAATGGCGTCACCCACTGTGCACAGAAAACTTCATGTTGTAATTGGTATCCTAGTTCTATACCATGTAAATGCGTGCTTTGGGCAGACAACTGTTTGTGAGTCAATAGACTCTTGCTCTTGTACTATGAGTGACGGATCAGGGGTGGTCAACCTGCGGCCTTTGGTGTCAGGAACACCGACGTGAGTAACACACTTTCCTAAGTAACTGTTCATGACTGTTGAAGTAACGTGACTGTCACATGACACGAACACAATGTGTAAAGGAAAAGCATTTCATTAAGTACATTTCTGTATCAAATCAACTTCATTGCTCAACAACTGTAACGGGTACAATATATGGAAAAGAAGAAACAACAAGGGTAGATACTTGTTATTAAACTATACTTTTAAGTATAGTTCAATATACTTTTTAAGTATAGTATAGTATGGATTACATGTTGGAATTGCATTTAAAAATGCAATTCCAACATGTAATCCATACTAGCTATACTAAATTTCTATTCTTCCAAAGCTAATCTCGTGTTTTTCTTGAGGAGAGTATTATTACATTCTATTATTCTTGATATATGTCAGTTATTTACAATTGTGTTGATGTTGAAGCAATTGACAAGATTGTGATACTAATTATGTCTAATGGCCTAATTTCGCTGTGCAATAAAAAGCCCAAATAAATGGCCATAACTTGCCCCCCCCCCCCCGTCCAGTTCTTCATGCTTCATTAAATCGCAAAATGAAGGTTATGAGAGTTCAGCAGAGTGAAATTCTGCAACCAACGTTGAAAGATATTGACTTCCGAATTCGTGGTATATAGTTAATACAAGTCTAACTAAAATTTTGTGTTCAAGTATGCACAATGAGTACCGTGTAGCGTTATGATATATCTTAACATATAATTAGGTACAAGGACTACATTGCCACACAAACCACCGATGACTACCTGTACTCATGGAACCCCTGTGCACCCTTTTCTGAGGTAGGATCAGGCGATCCTGATGAGTCCTGCACCAACGTGGCGGTAGGTTGAGCACACTTTTGTAACACTCAGGATGCACGAACCAACGATTCTTCATTATTATGAGTCACGAAAAGTGTACCCCATGTTTTTATGACTTCCGGCACGGAAGTGCTGTACTGGGTGGCTCTCTGGGTTGGTTTGTATGTATTCATTGAGCACAATGTAGGTTCTGTCAGGCCATATGACATGCATGATGGGCCACATGTGAGTTCAAAAATAATAGATAAAAATAAGAATGGTCAATATCTCAGCATCTTTTTTCTAACATCGGGTTGATTACAATGTAAAGATTAAGTAAAAAAATTGACTATCGTCCAATTGTTTTCAGGCCTGCCAGGTCGCAAAAGATGGATCAATTTCATACGGCCTGGGCACACAGGACTCCGCTTCGTTCACTGTTACTGATGACCCGGATATGGGGCAGACTCTAACCCTGGTCTACCAAATGCCTGAGGGAGGAAGGTATGTGGATGATTGACAGCTGCCAAATACATGCGGTACTCCTTTTTCTTTGAATACATAATTTAGTTCTTCTTTGCCTTCATGCCATGCCTTGTTTTACGTCAAGTGGTATAAACTATTGCGGTGCTAGTGGTAGCTACCAGATGTTAAAAGCTTAAACATTGGAGGTACATGTGCCTTTGTGAATATCGTTCTATTCATTCTATGTTTTACTGTGTTTTTTATTATATTTAATGTGTTTCGTATTTCGTAATATCGTTCTATTCATTCTATGTTTTACTGTGTTTTTTATTATATTTAATGTGTTTCGTATTTCGTAATATCGTTCTATTCATTCTATGTTTTACTGTGTTTTTTATTATATTTAATGTGTTTCGTATTTCAGAGTATCGGGAGTTATTCTTGAATGCACCCAGGGGGCGACAACGTTTAGTGCCATTGGGGAGGTGACAGTTGGTGCTTACGTAAGCATCTTTCTTGTCTGTATGTCTATGGTGTATGTTGTATCACAGAAGTGGTCAAATACTGCATTATGTCATTTGATAAAAGGTGGAGAAAAATTATCAAAGGAATTTAATTTTTTTTCACCCAGTCGTTTCAGCTGTCGAGTCCGTGCGCCTGCCCAGGGGCGGGGCCAGGCTGTGCAGGGGGAGGGCTCAGTGGCGGGTCCGTGTTTCTCATCATGTAAGTATCTTCTGATACTCTACGGTGGCCCGTAGGTACTATTTTTGTAAAGTGGAATAAAATTAAACAAGTACCTACGGGCCACGGTAGATACTCCTCTCCATAGAGTTGTTTCAATGTCTTCTGTCATTCCTTGGCTTATAAAATAAACGCCAAACGCCACTAAATTCTAAGAGGCAATTTATTAGTTATAGCTGGTAGATGACTGAGCCTTTTTCATTGGTTAAACAGACTTGTCGTCCTGGCTGCTGTTTACGTCATAGCAGGCGCCATTTTCATGAAGTTCGTCAAAGGTGCGCAGGGGTCAGAGGTCATCCCCAATATCGCCTTCTGGAAAAGTCTGCCTGGATATGTCAAGGTTTGTCAGACCATCCTATAGAGTTTTCTTAAATTCTCTGTAATATATACGTATATAGCGTACTGGCCCTATGCTAATGGCGAATCTCAGTACTTCTATTCTTTCGACATGTATTTCAAACATATTGTATAATATTGTAAAACATATTATAAAACTACAAACAGATGTGCATTTTCTATTACAACGTTTACGTATTTCAAGATACAATGACTTTTTGCTGCATTACATGATATTGATGTGCTTAATGAACAGCATACGGCAAAAATATTTTGTTTTATGACGATGAAGGTTCAGGACATCCAGGTAATGAGATACGTATGACAGGTTTGAAAACTTTCGTGAGTTTCATGTACATCCACTATTTGAAACGTCTTACGAAAAGTAGTGGACACTATCTGCATGAAACGTTTTCGAAATCTATCCAGTCGCTTGAGAAACACTTTTCCTGTGTAATGTTTTGTTTTGTTTTGTTTCGTTTACAGGATGGCGTATTTTTCATTCTGTCTCCTTGTCGCAGATCCAAGGGGTATGAAAGCGTGTAGTTAACCTAAATCTGACATGACAATAACGATTTCAAAGTCCCACATTTACTATTTACCATGTTATATGTGAGAGTTAGTATCCCTATTTAGCCTCAGAGGAATTTGTATTCCCGTTTTTCTACATTCAAACAATGTAGAAACTTTTTAAGTTCATTTCACAAATATATACACGACAGTACGTTAACGTCATGGTGTATTCACATCATGTACATGTACATGTACATGTAAAGAACTTCCCTTTACTGCATTTGATTATTCTAATACAAGATTCAATACAGAGATGTGACCTAAATTAAGCTGTTGTTGCTATATTGTACTGTAATCCGTGTTGCCTTTTACCAAGCGACGACAAGAGGATGTTGTGTAGATGCACCCTTCCTGTAGGTAATACAAAACAAGCAAAAAGTTCAAGAAAAGTTACGTCTAAGTTTTGATTCAAGATTGCTTTTAACATCTAAATATTTAGATGCTGGACAGAAACATTTAACGTACGTCATGTCAATACGCCACCTACGTTCATATTTCTGTAGTCAAAGTTTTAGAATTGATTAGTATTACGTATCGTATTGATTGTTTTTTCATTGTTACCATACATTGCACCTTGTACATCTGTTGAAAAATAAAGTTAATTCATTCTGAATGACGACTAGTGGATGAGTCATATTTGACCATGTAAGTAAGTATAAATGGAATAAGAAACAGCAGACCTTGATACAGCCTAGCAGGTTTTTCCAGAAGTCATCATTAGGAATGGCCTCCCAGCCTGTTTTCTTTTTCACCGCCACTTTGAGGATGGAGCCAAACGTCAAGTAGACAGTGACGGCTGCCAGAACCCTGACACAAATAAGAACTGTTAAATGTCTATCTTTGTGTCTAAATCGTGTAAAGAATGATAGCACAGATAGGTAATTTCTCCAACTATGTCGTTTAAATGGATTAGAAAGTTATGACATCTAGGCAAGACGTAGGTAACGATCTAGGAAACATCTAGGTAACCATCTAGGTAACATACTATTAGATAGGTAGCATCTAGGTATCATCTAAGTAAAGTATACTTGTCTAATATCGATGCTCTTTCAAACCGAAATATATACCAACACAAAAATGTTTCAATGTATATAATATCATACTATATACATTGCAAGGAAATTAGAGAGGAGTTCTGATACACTATTATTATATAATAGTTAATTTTGATACTCACGATATACAGATCAAACTCCCGATGCTCAGACCACTTTCGGCACAATTTGGCCCTGCTCCGGGGCATGCGCATGGACTCCCTAATATGAAATGCTGAAGAATGCACAAACAGCACAATGAAAAACAACATAAAGTGACAAACTGAAGTCAATAAAGTACATAATATAGAAAGATCTAATAAACTTACGTAGATAATGGTATTTGCTGGGATGGCCCCCACAACTGTGAAGTTGGTATCTCCTGTAGTACACTGTAGTTGAACCAGTGTCACTCTGGGAACATTTCAACAGACAAATATCACAATGTGATATCTGTATCTATATCTGTATAGCCGGTTTAACCGCCCTTCGGCGTAACACACCAGCTAGCAAGCTGAAGGTAAAAGATTCGGACATGTTTTCTGCGATGTGGGATTAATGTGCACGGTAAACGGCTCTATGTCTTTTATACCATTCGATACCTTATAAGGCCATGTTGATTTGATTATGACAAGTTTAAGTTTGGAATGTGTCAAAGGCATCTGGTAAACGATGTCGGCCCCCGTCGCGGTTGAGTGAAGGGTGATGGGCCTTAATGTAAATAGCCTATTGAAAAAGACCAGAGTGACTGATCGAAAGCTCTAGGTAAGAACAATTCTTTGTACTGGAATTAAAGATGTAACTACCAACACAGATGAACTTTCATGGAAGTATCGAACACTTGTCACCTGAGCTGGTCTTCAGTGACGTACATGACCAGAACAACGGCCTCTCCGGTGTCATCTGCCCTGCCTGCCTGGAACTGTACAGAGCTCTGATGTCCGAGGTCATATTCATTACTACCGTTCTTGGTCTTTTGACACACCTGATTAGTAGTATAGTATGGAGAAATTTATATTCCTAACAGCCTTCGATAAACTTACTCTAACTATTCATACAGCCATCTACATTTATACAATTACAAAGAAGCGAAAAAAATCAAAAGCACTTGTGTATACTAGATGTTTACAAATACATCTACATGTATGCCCAGTGTGGCAAAAATGTACAATAAAGGTCTCCATTCATTAATAAACATTCAGCGTTATTGTAGAGACATTTTATGTGCATTAAAGTTAAAATTATTGACTATTACTTATAGAAAAACATACCGAATGTGAATCTATATACTCACCGCAACATCCTCACAAGTCGACCCTTGACTAAACGGTTCACACGGGTTCCACGAGTACAGGTACTCGTCTGGGTATGTAATGGCTGGAAAGTCTTTGAATCTGAAGACAATGGTTTTTTTTATACAATATTAGTCATAATTTTGGTGTTGAAAATGTCACAACGCCACCATATATTCATAATTATGATTATGAATGTGCCATAACACCACCATATGTTCATAATTGTGATGTTAAATATGCATATTAACGCCACCCTATGTTACATGTTGTGGATAAAGTACATATCGAAATCAGTGCTTTTTGATCAGTGCAGCTACATATAGGCGCGAACTTTGAACCGCCTAATCGAACAACAACAACAACAACAACGCATTAGATAATAAGCACGGAATGGTGTGTTTTCGGTTTTGATAGCCTTCTTTGTTAAGATAAGACTGTCATTGGACGGAGAATCTGATCACCTGATATTACCCTTGCAAATGAGAAGCCATCGACAAGTCATCTGTCGTGTTAAAGGGTTAACATCATTTGGCGAAGGTACGAGGTCGTGGAACTCTGGTTTGTCTTACTCTCGTTGTATTATTATCGATGGGATTTCTTATATAATATTTCACCACACTCATGTACACATGTTTTACATGTATATCACATCCAGAATACCGTGCTGTCTGACTCACGTCGGGTTGCCTGTCGCCAATGGCCGCAGGTTGACCTCCCCTGACCCGTCACTCATCACACACGAACACGGTCCAGTCTTGTTACAGCTCAGATCCTGGCTCAGAACTGCTCCCACTTGTATCAGACTCACCAATACAATAGCGGGGAACTTCGTCTCACACATGACGAAGGTCTTCATGATGGGGCACAGGATTAAAGTAGTTATTTGAAAAGTGGTTTCGCCTAGGCCTGTTTGTAGTTTGGCATGACCTTTGACCCCTCGATAATGACAAATTGGAACGGACTGGACTATTAGTTTGAACATTAGTTTTATTAATTTAGTTTATTGCTTTATTTCTGTTATTATCATTTATTGTCTGTTCGTCAGCGTTTTTTCATTATTATCATTGTCATCATCATCATTTATTGTATCTTAATTTTATTGTTTGTATGTGACTTCATGTATTTTCCATGTTTATGTATGTATGATTCAGGGCCCCACTGAAAAGCAGTGGGTAAGGCTGACGGAAAACAAGATAAATAAAATAGAATACGTTTGAATTAGCTCGCAATATATGGCTGACCTTGCCCCCCTCCCCAGTTTTTAATTTGGTACAAGCAAAACAAGCAATGTGTCACATGCTGATCTCGTGAAGGGCCTATAATACAAAGGTCTCGTAGACTGCAGCTACCAAATTGTTTATTTACTAGTATCTAAAAAAGATAGCGGAACAAAAAAAAAGCCCAGTAAAACGTATAAAACATGTCAAAAATAAGCCGAAGCGTTAACCTGTGCCTGGAGAGTAATTTCAGTATTTGCCCGATTTTTTTTTGCAATTGGCTCAATGCTGTTGATTTTATCCATGGAACGATATTAACAGAGAGAAAATGTATAATTTATTGAGCAAATAAACAAACCAGGTATTTCAGAAATAAAGTCTTTATTGGCCATTACTAGTACATTTGTACTATATCTCTAATATTGTTTTTTATTACACATTACACATTATTATTATTATTATTATTACTGAACTATGCGTGGTTCACATTGTGGAGACCAAAGAAATAGTCAAATCATTTCATATGTTTTAACCATTTACAAATGTACATGTATCTTACAACATGCCTTGTACAGAACCATCTCAGTGATGCATAGTACTTGTATTATTTTTTCATTGTGTACTAGTACGTATTACTTAAGTTAAAAATGGCATTTTGTGTAGGAAAAGTTGATTTGCTATTGTTGAAAGGGTGCACAGGTCCGTGTTGTCTAGATCTCACTATATCCCTGTTTGTATATTCACCCCTTAATTGTGTACTACTGGAAAAGTCATCCTGTCTTTGGCAAACAGCCCATGTTGTCTAGATCTCACTATATCCCTGTTTGCGGCACGGCATACTCGCGAACACGAACAGGAATCCGTCCTATAGAAGAGAAAAACACCAAAGTCTTAGGACATTGTAGTAAAGACGAAAGCTGCTCCATATCAACTAATTATTCAGTGTTTATAGACCTGTTGATCTTGAGATCCCTTCAGTGTCATTGAGAAAAGGTAGTGGATGCTACCTGAAAAGCCTGTTTCCAAAATCTTATCCAGTTTGGCGAACATTCATATCATTTATAACCGTTACGTTATGTGGACTATAGAACGTTCCCAATCAATTTCTCTTTTTTTATTGGTTATTTTTAGATCACACTCCGGTTCGTGACCTGTTTTTCAGATGTCCCTGTGCACATAAAAGTTTCATACACGAAAGGTTTTGCACGGTGAAGTTCAATTAGCCCTACCATGCTTCTGGCGTACAAAACTAGGAAAGCCCCTACAGGTGTGACACTCCCACCGGGCGGCCAGTTAAGCTGGGCGGGGTAAACTATTAGAGCCTCGAAGACAGCCTGCCCCAACCACGATAGACTGGATACAAGACTATATATGTTTGGACAGGAGTTGGTTTTACCTTTATCAACCCCGGAAGACTGCCCCAGAACTCCAGGTGAGGGAAGACGTCTTTTCCTTCTCTCTCCCGTGCGTACTTGTTGATCAGGACTCCCGCTACGATGTAGATACAGACGGTGGGGAAGAAGCTGAGAGAAATTGGAAGGAAAATTATTTTATAAGCGAGATCTGTACATGTATGGAATCGATAACTACGTACACCAGAAAATGGTTGACATGCTGCAGTAGGAAAATTAAACTCGCATTCATTGTATTTTTCAATCTGTATTAGATTTTATGAATTCCTGAACATATAAAGGCACCCAATGCAATTTTAGAGCAGCACAATCAAAACATACTCTGGATTCGGAAATCTTTCTGATATTGGCATTTACTGCAAGTTCTATCTTAGCACATTTTCGTCATTATTTCATACTTGAAGTGTTTAAAATAGCCGAGAAACAAGCTACATGAGGCGTCTCTTTTTTTTTTGGTACCGTCGGTGACATCGCATTTTTGCTTCACAGATATCAGTATGCTATGGGATAGAGTTCATTTTACTTACTACATTTAAAAGAATGACCACAAAACTGACTATCCTGAAATTTCATTGGACTCAATGACCTAGAGTTAAAAAAAAATTACAATTGCCTTACATAATGCACATGATGGAGCCCACGCTTATGGAGATCGTTATGGTAGGGTCGGGGTTGGGTCCCGGTCCGGTAGGGTCAGGGCCTGGACCCGGGCCACTAGCACAGCATTCCGGGCTCTCCAGCGTGAAGTACTGGAAACAAAACACGTGGAAGTTGAATGTTTGCAATACCCTTCTCCTATATTGACATTTTTAGATGTGTATGTGTTTGTCAATATGGGCCATCCAGCCTGAAATAAACAATCAACATAAACACAATACTGGATGGCGTGTACTCTCCAAGCAGAGGTTTGGGTTTTGACTTGTTTTGGGCGTGTTTTTTTTAAATTTATTTTTGATCATCTTATTTTTACGTCAACCCAAAGATGGCGTAAAAAGATAACAGTGCAAAAAAAAAGACTGATGAAAAAACCTAAAACACGTCCCAAATAAGCCAAAACCCAAACCTCTGCTTGGAGAGTAGATGGGGTAGGAATATGTGTGATCCATCGACATAAAGATTACAAGGCGTTTTGATATTTGATTTGATGAATGAATTATGTGTCTTATAATTACAAACATGAACAACTTGATGAACATTTTCCTGTTATGTTAATGTACAGCTGGGCTTCTTAAACATTTGCATTAGAGATTTGACGTAAAATTCTTCGAAATCAGGTATACATAAAAGTAATGTTGACGTCAGAGCTCAGTTATTATTAATTGCATTAGAGGACATTACAGCGTATTTTTATAACAAAACTATTTTACTTACAAAAGAGGTTTGTGCATCGGGATCCTCGCCATCCACGGTGAATGCTGTGTTCGAACTGCACACTAACTTCACTATGGTGTGCCTGCAAAAACACATGATAGAAGAAAGTAAATCTAGCCAACAATCCTGTGTCATACTTCTTTAAGTACTTGTTACATTGTACGGAAATATAACATTTAGTGCTTTAAATTGACGTCTTGCATGTATTATGGTATTGTCCTTCAAGTCTATCTGAACTCGACACAATGCCCGGTGATTTCAATACGTTTCTATGTCGATTCAGTATACTGGGGTCGACATCGTCTACCAGACACCTTTGACCCAGTGTTGATGTCACACTTCAAAGAATCCACGCGACAAGCCTCACTGGGTCAGTCTATAGCTACAGAGGAAGATCAGGAGTGACTGGTCAAAAGCTCTAGATGAGAGAACTTTATTGTGTTGGATTAAAAGTTTGAACTTTTAACATGTAACTACCAACACAGATGAACTTTCATGATTGTGTGTACCTTTGATAATCGAAGGCGTTGTACGTGATGGCGACGTTGTTTCCGTCCATGGAGAAGGTCGCGCCGTCCTGAGAACCGATATCGTACGATTCTCCTGACATGTCACTCTTCACTTGACACGCCTGAAGATGTGCAAAGAAAACATGTACATCCCACTATACTATCATTTAGGTCTGAAACCTAATGACAAACATAAAACACAGATTTAATAGTATAGATCACATGTACCTATTTATGATAAAGAAAATACGGTGACTAATCATGCACAAGATTTAAAACAAATGAGTTATTTCATTAACAGTTGGCAAATCTTATAAAGGCATTCAATGCAATTTCATGGCGTAAAAACTAGGCTTTCAATTTTCTGGCCATATATGTAGTAAGTTGAATCAAACCTATCACATGGCATACTGATATGTGTCAGGCAAAAATGAAGGTATTGCTGACGGAAAATGGTTGCCTGCTTTGCATCGTAGGGTGGTTCTACGAGCTATTTATAGGCGATACCCCCCCCCAAAAAAAAAAACCCCATGGTGTAGCTTGTTTGGGGGCTATTTCAAACGTTCCAAGTATGAAATTATGAGGACAATGTGCTCAGAAATGTCAATGAAATATCAATATCGGACAGATTTCCTCATCCATAATATTTTTTTGCTTTGCTACCCTGAAATTGCATTTAGATACCTATGAACATCCATGTACTAGGTAATTTTAAGGTATGATAGAGAAACCTACCGCCACGCCGTAACACATTTGCATGTCAAACGCTACACACGGGTTGTAACTGTACTGCCAGTTGTCATCCGGCCATTTTGTCGCCGATCCGCTAAACCTACGACAATAAACATTCAAACAGGCAGTTTCAGAAGTATGGAAAATGAATGAATGAAACATTTATGCCCTCATGGGTTAAAACCCATCGTGATAATGTTCTATGTACAAACAGTGACACAAGTCTAATATCTACTACATCCATATAGTGTACTTTAATGTACAGTTTTTTTAATGTACAGGTTCAGTTTAGTCTCGCTACTGAAGACAGTTGTAGGTCTAAGAACAGATCTATATGGGGCTTATGATACATGATTTATGACTTTATCTGGTTCCATGAAGAATATGGATTTTTGTAAATATCCAAAACTCATCAAAGAACTCATCTTGTATACAATTGAAGATGGCATTTCTGTCGTTGTCATATAAGCTAGGTACAGCCCACAATAAAATCTCACTCATCTTTTGCAATGACCAAATACAAGTCAAGTCAAAGTTTATTGCACAACGATTGTAACAGGTACAATGTATGGTAGATAATGATAAGATTACGAGCTGGTATGAGTCTATCAATAGTCTACATGTAGGTTCAACGGGTATCATGTATGGCAAAATGTTGAATAGAACTAACTAAGAGCTAGTACACCTCTACACGTATGTTCTAAGCTACGCTATACTATATCCATAAAGAGAAAAATGAGGAGTTGTATACTTAAAATGCAGGTTCTGTGAGTACTATACAGAGTGCATGCTGTGGCCATTTTAGTGGGTCCGCCGTAAATTTGGACTTTGGTCACTATGTGTCTGTTTGTTTGACCGTGTGACGTTTACAAACAGGATTCTCAAACATGCAATGTATAATGTTTCTAGACACAATCACACAAAATGTATGTATTCTTTGAAGTTATGCTTACACTGACTAGCTTTTGTATCTTATTTTGCTTCAGGTTTCCATGTTGCTCTGTACAAAATCTGACTCTAAACTCGGACGAAGCAAAGACTCGGTGTCTATTTAGAAACCTATCACCAAAAGAAAGCAAATGGACAAATAGAGACCTCTTTGGAAAACAGAAGACGCCCCACGACAAGATGAAAAAGATAGCTGTTAACAGACAGAACAACAGTGTTACACACAGTTTAACAAAAGCTGTGCAAGCAACTCCACATTACTTACTTTGGGGTGCCAGATCCAGCCAGAGGAGACAGGTCAATCGTGCCGGAACCATCGTCCATTTGGCACGAACAAGGCCCGGTTTGCTGGCAGATAGCGGCCAGGGTTGGTCTGATCATCACTACGGTGATAGCCGATAAGTACAAGGAAAGGTGGACTTTACGAGACGCCATCTTGTTTTTCAAAACTTTGAATTGCTTTACACGGACTAGTTACTGAGTCACGCGCTAATGGGGTCAACCAAGGTCACAAACTTGGGTCACGTGACTGACGACAAACAAGGATATTTGCATTGAGTCTGAATGCGTTTCTTAAGTATGTGTGTGTGTGTGTGTGTGTGTTCCCTCTGTGTGTGTGTGAATGTATGCATTGTATATGTGTGTCTACAGGCACTGTAACAACACATCAGTCCCAAATGAGAAAAACAAACATCGACACAGTATCAAAAAGATAAAAATCAGGCAATATACAAATGCACAAGATTTACAAAAACAACATTGGCTTTACCACAAATCGAATACATTTTGTAGAATCAAAACAATGATGTTCTATGAAAACACAGATTTACAGGTAAACAAACATCATCCTAGCAATGCAACACACACACAAACATACTAATTACCTAGATTTGCAAGTACAACACTAGGAATACAAGTACTGCAACAACAAAACAGTCACAAATGTTAAAACAGTCTAGAAACTGTCAGAAAAAATACAGGTACACAGGTATCACAATGGTGCATTAGTCTTACCATGAATTTAGCAATTTGAAAACAAAAAACATCCTAAGAAATCACAGAAGGTCAGGTAAACAAACATCACATACACCAAGAAAACTAGGTTTACAGGTACGACACTGGGTCTACAAGTACTGTCACAAAAAACAGTCACAAAAATCTATACAAATGCACAAGTTTTACAAAAAAAGCAATAAAATCTACATTATACAGACATGTATAGACGGCAAAATCTAGCCTCTACCAGGCACCGCGGATCGCTGGAAAAATAGTAGAAATTGGCCGAAATGGGTCGCAAATTGGAGCTTCTATGGCCCTGGATCTTCTCTGGCATACTATCCCTTTATTTCGGCCAATTTCTACTATTTTTCCAGCGATCCGCGGTGCCTGGTAGGGGCTAGGCAAAATCCCCTAAGGGGCAAAAATCTCACGGAGATTGCTCAAACTGCACAGTGCGCATGTCCGCAGTGACGTCACACCCCTGACACACCGTTCCCCACACAATGACAGGCGGACGGCAGCCGGAGATGGCGGGCGGGACGGACAGGGAAAATTCTCAGGTGAGGGGAAATATAAAATATCTGTTAGGACTAGTCTGTAACGCAAACACTGTGACAGTCGTTCGCGGCTTTAATGTCCCCGGAGTTTGTGCGCCTCTCTCTTGAACGCCGGCTGGATGTTGGGCGGGGGGCAGTCGCAAAACGATTTAATCAGGCTATGCAAGGAGGTTGTATACAGTAGGTTCTATTTAAAGCTTTCTTTGCTAGGTTATGCTAAAGGTCCCATTTCCAAGCCGGGTTCGGCCAGGTTGTTTATGTAAACAAAAAATAGACCATTCAAATCAAGAATATGCATAGACAGTGCTCATAATCATTGCCTTTTGATGATCATACTTTCCCTTCTCAGAAACTGCCCGGTCGTAATCTCCAAGCAGATCTTATGGTGGGGGTAAGACAGTATCAAATTGTCAATTTGATACTGTCTTACCCCCACCAAAAGATCTGCTTGGAGATTAGCCCGGTCGGGCCTCGGGTTGGAAATGTGATCCTAGCATTGGGGCAGGATCTTACGAATGGTATTGGATGATAAATGGGTTAATTGCACGATAGTTCTTTTTAGCTGTTTTAGCCTGTTCAATATGTTCCATTATCTTATCGTCAACAGTGAACATACTGCCTACTGGTCCACCTTCTGTGGAGCTTTCCTGGGTCTGTTATTTTGGTCTCCGTGACTTGTATGTTTTCAGCGGTGTAACAATAGTGCCCATCCAGAAGTTCAGGTTAAGACTCGTACCGAACTTACAGAAAATGTATGATGTTTTCAAGTTTGAGTAGCTCGGCTTATTTTCTGTGGTTGACATAATTGCACTTGTCGGGACGCATTCTTCCTTCCAGTTCACACATAAACAATGTCTATAGCATTAATTGTTTGTGACGTTTAGCTAGATAAGGCATTGTTCCGACCCTGCGAGGCCAGGGTCATGTAAATCGTACTTGTTATGCAAATTTGCAAATAGCCTTGAGAACACTTGAAGGTTTGTTTGTTTGTTTTGCATAACCGGTAAACCGCCTTTAGGTGTTACACACCAGTTTTGTACATGTGCGTACAATTTACAAGCTGCGTAAGACTCGACTGTAAGGTGTGAACCACTCACACCGGGAAGGTCCCCTAATCTTTTCGATATTAAATTGCGGTGGGTTCTTTAACGTGCGTTGGTTATGGCTCTCCCCAAACACGGGACCTACATTTTAAAACGGGACGTCCTTAACCGAAGCTAGGTACTCATTTACACCTGAGTGAAGTGAGGTGTAAAGTAAAGTCGAGTAAAGTGATTTTCGCTAGGGCACAAGATCGGTGACATGGGTAGGATTCGAACCCGGGACCTCTTGGTCCTGAGCCGAACACGCTACCGCTACGCGACACGGCCGCACATTGTATGTAGGTTGTCGACCCCACATGACCACAGGACCACACGACTCCTGTATCCATCCTTGTTATCACACTTGCGATATCTGTGCTAATGTCCTTGATATTCTTTAGCGCTGGACAATATTATGAATGAGAAAATAGGGGACATGTTTGTATCCCTTTTTTACATGCTTTAAAATTTTGATTCGTAAATGTACGGTCAAAACATCGCCGGAGGTCATACAGGTGAGAGCCCTAGAATCCGGGACGTAAACTACATAACGGACAAACTACATAACGGGACAGTGACCGCCTTGGTACGCACGTCGTGTTATTTACATGCACGTTGTTTATCAACATATAGCTTTTCAATCGTAACAGTTCATGTTTTTTTTTAAATCTTAGCAAGCTGCTGTAACGTTCATGTATAATTATAAAGAGAAATCAGAATTAAGCTACAGGGCCAGAAAGTGTAGATATAATTAAAGCTTCACTAACGTCATTGTGTCAACCTTGTACCTGATTTATGACCAAGGGCCTTGGCCTTATACAACCTTATGTTATGTGTGACTCCATTACAGCATGATTAAAGACATCATCAACAACAAATTAAGGGTCAATCATGTAAACAGTGTCCATAAAACGAATATTTCTTGAAATAAAACACTTTAATTTCTGGTGCAAAAATGTTACATACTAGTAATGCCCCATCTAGAAGTTTTTATATGCTTGGAAATGTAAGGTTATTAAAGCTTTCTCTGATTGGGGATATCATTGAAATGGTTTGTGTTTTTTGTTGTTCCCCAGTTTCACTTCATCGTGCCTCTAAATGTGGGAGGTCACCACTACACCAGCACCCTCCCGATACTGCGCAAGTTCGAGGAGTCCATGTTGGCCGCCATGTTTAGCGGCCGCCATCTTGTCGTGAAGGACGACGAAGGTCGATACTTCATCGAGCGGGACGGCGCCAACTTTGGTCACATTCTCAACTTCCTCCGCGATAGTCAGTTGCCTCCTCCCGGCAAGGTGAGCCCGTGTTGTTTTACACTGGTAAATTTGCGTAAAAGTTGTTAAAACGTAAAACTTTTGAAGTAACACAAACAATGGTTCTCACCTAGAGCTTTAGACGGAGGAAGACGGTCACTAGACTGATCCAGTAAGTAAATACTAGTATACTTGTCACGTGGTTTCTCTGAAGTGTGAAGTCAACACTGGGTCAAAGATAGCTGGTAAACGATGTCGGCCCCCGTCGCGGTTTATTGAAGGGACAGATACAGTTTTAAAGAGTATATTAAACTCTAATATACGGTTTCTTTACACTATGCAGGCCAAGGATGTCTACAAGGAGGCGCTGTACTACGGTATCAAGCCCCTTGCTGACATCCTCCGCCGACACAGGTCAATTATCGAAGAGGAAGAAGTCGCCAAGTTCGCAGATCAGTGCCCCAACGCCCAGGACAAGGCCGAAGAAATCGCCTCCCTCCTCCAGAAGAAGTTTGCCGACACCCTGAGCAGGAAGAGCCGGGTGGTCTTACAGTTTACACAGGAGCTATCGTGGGAGTCGGTCCACCATAGCCCAAGCACCGGGAAAACCATCGGAAACTACTACATTCCTTACGACTTTGATCAAGACAAGAGCCACGAGAACCACAAGTGTCCCCTGCCGGAGATAGCCATGGGAGAAATGTCCGAGTCTGACAAGGGGAAGACGCTGAATTTCTTCGGGAACTACTTCGAGAAGCTGGGGTACAAAATGGAGGTGACTCCGGGAGAGTGCAGGGAAGAGGTGTGGTCTCAGAACATCACCTGGCCTGGAGACGGGCTGAACTCTATCACCATCCACTGCACCAAGAAAATCTACACACTCGACTTTTCTTAGATTGTACATGAAAACACACTAACCTTTCCAAAAGAAAAAAGTCCACAGGTTACGGGGTAAGGTGTGAAAAACATGAATCATTTCTCCAAAAGAACATGAAAATCCTAGCCTTTCTCGGAAAATATCGACTTTTCTTAGATTGTGCATTCCCGATATTACCGTAAGTTTGGAGTTACGTTATTCTACACAGACCATGGTTTAATGCAACACTGTATACCTCAGAACATCTCTGCTATTTTCTCATATCATCTATCCTAATACATGTATATTGTAATCCATTTAATATTAGGTGATGTAGGTGATTTTATATGTGATGTAAAGGTTTATATATTCTAATAATAACTATGTGTAATATGATAATAAAACAGGTCTTGTGTATATAGTAGAGGGGATTCATTCCTCAAGCTACCGACAGGTCTTGTGTATCTTTCTTCGTAGCGAAGGGCTTGCTAGGCTATACAATGTAATTTGAACATTGTTTTTTGAGGGGCTATTTGAAAGATGTGAAAAATGAGATCATTTGCTAAAAGAATGGGCAACATGTAATACAACAAAATGTATATCATCTACAGGTTGCTATCTCTTGTCATAGACACTTTTATAATGGTAACAGAGGTTATAACTCTACAATTACACACATTTTAAACTTACGATAAAAACCATAATGATATTGATTATCAATAAAGAGAAAGGTTTTCTTTCCCATGGCCCAGTCTGGTGTGTTTCAACATAGCGACAGGTTAGGAATAAAACAACAGGTTACACAATAAAAGTGAAGTAACTGTAAACATTTTAATTTGACGTAGAAATAATGCAATGTGTTTTTTTTCCGCCAGGAGGCGTAGTGTGACAATTGCTTAAGCGTTAACAGTTTTACGGAGGTCAAAATTCACGCCACAGCTGACACAGTAAAGAAACCTTTGCTCGCCCCTTTGTGATAAAACGGGACGACGACAGTCCGCTCTGTTTGCAGAACAACGTCCTTGCGAAGCTTCTCTTAAAAGAGGGGCCACATGGCTTACAAGATGTCAAATTCTTGGCCTTTTTGGCTTCTTTTGCTGGGGTGTTTGTTCTACAGTACCAGAGCTCAGTATTGCACGCAGACCGGACCATGTAGTTGTACGATGGATGACGGATCAGGCACGATAGACCTCTCGCCACTCGCCACACAGGGGGGCATTGCGTAAGTACCCTCACATGAAAACGAATTATCATCGCTAACTTCGCTTCTACAGTTGTAGTCTGTACTATTGAAAGTAAACCTTTTCTTTGCCATATAGGAAAGGTGTCTTTTTGACTCCATGGATATGATATGTTCGGCATCTTTCTAACATTTGAAGGATTTATAAGAGAGTGACCCAATTTCAGGCTAGTTGCGATCATGAGCTGATTATCTTTCACTTACTTACACCCCTCTTACTCCTTTTGACTTTGAAAAAGCAATATGAACATCTTTTCAGCAGTGTTCCTAATTAGTTGCTTGTTCGAAATATATCACAAGGTGTAAGAATAGATTTGATCAATTGGACCAATCAATCCTGATGTGTTGATCAGGATAAAGGTTACATCGAAATGCAATATCCAATACAGTTCCTAACACGTGAGCGCACCAACACGTGGAGGTGTACTGAAAACGGCCAAAGTACAAATTTAGGCCTATAGTGTCCTAGTTATCAACATTTTCCTCTTTTTATTACAAAATTAAAGGTAGCATCAAAACACAAAACTGGTAGCGCTCTCAAATTACGAAGACTTTGAGTTTTACGCTACCACAGTACCACTTACATCTAACAAGAACATAGACCAGTTACTTCAAATTCAACTAGAAAGGTAACATTTTCAAAGCAAATGCATAATGTTTACCTTCGCGTATGTTCTGCTCTGTTAACTCTTACTCAAGTAAACACATTCATATATATATATATATGGTCAGACAGGAGTCTAAATCCCTCCTGCTATGAAATTGCAACATGATGTAACCCAACACCAGTTACCATGATGACAGACATCTGGTTCAGGTCATTGACCTTATTGATTTGGAGAAGAAGAAGAAGAGGAAACAGTAAACATAATTCTTAGAAAATGAAATCCAATATGAAGGGAATACAAAGGAACATATAGATATCTAACACGATGTAGTAAAGAACAGAGATGTTTAAATTTAGTTATTTACGATATTTAAATGAAGATATTTCTAAAATAAATTCCCCCCAGGTACGAAGACTACTATGCATCGATGTACCCTGACGGTTTCACCTACTCCTGGAACCCGTGTTACGCCTTCAGCAAGTCTGGATGCACGGGTGTCGCTGTATGGAGTCTTTTATCTATCATATTACCACCAATGTTTCATTTTTCAATATCTTCATCATACTTATTGTTTAGATAACCTAGCCTGTTGATGTTAAAAATATTGTTGGAAGGTTTTTGCTACAAACCGTTTTGCAAGTAACTGGCATCTACTGCAGTTTACCTTATAGGGTTTATCAGTTTGTAATGGAATAATTACTGCACAATAATCTGTTGTTTCACAACTGGCCGACCTTAGATTAATTTTTTTGTATTTCATATTGTGACGTGGCTTTTCTAAATTATCTTCCTTCCAGGTGTGCCAAGTCGGTCAGGCGGACCCGTCAGAAGCCTATGATCTTGGTGTACAGGAAAACGCAATTTTTCAACCGGATACAACCGGAACTGGAGTAGCGCTATACTACTACAGTTTATCCTATGAAAGGTAAACAAAATATTTCTTTCCCTCACTTCACTCAGGTGTAAATGAGTACCTAGCTTCAGTTAGGTACGTTCCTCGGATAGGACGTTAAATGGAGGTCCCATGTTTGGAAGAGCCACACCCCACACACGTTAAAGAACCCACCACACCTTTCGAAAAAGAGAAGGGACATGTCCCGGTGTGCGATGGTCAAAATTGTACTGTATGGAAGTTGGTGATTCACTACAAATCACCCTCAAATATGTATGGTGAATCACTGCTTCGTATTATGAGAAAACATGTCAGTTATTGCCGATTTCTTGTCGGCAAATGGACATAATTGGAAAAAGAACTAGCTTTCGTAACTTTGCTTTTAAAAACGGTTCCTGGACAAATGAAACAACGATAAAATTATATTCGCGGACGCTCTATGTTAATCAGAGTGCAACCAAAATTTGAATAGTAGTAACAGCTTTCTCCAGAGTTTTAAATTCTCTCTTTTTTTTCTCTACAGAACGACGAAAATCTCGCTGATTTGCAGCTCCTCTTCTTTCACGACATTTACAGTGGATGGGGAGGACCCTTCTTACTTCAATAACTACGTACGTATTGTAATACAGTCATATACATACGTATACTAGTACTCGAGTGCACACACACGAGTATGCCTACAGGTACATAATTCAAATCATTGATCTTTTCAGATGGATATTTTTCTTACATATGAACCACGCCGGAAAAAAACTAGAACACAAATTAAAACAGCTATATACATAAAAAACAAGTAATTCACAGTTTTCTGGACATTTGTGACGTTTCACAGGACTTCCGTTTGGAAAGCCCGTACTGCTGTACCCAGGACGGCCCAGACCCAGGACCAGGCCCGGGACCCGGCCCTATCGTGGTTACTGTCAACATCAGCGTCGGGTCTATCCTCTGCATCGTGTACGTATACGTCGCTACATTCTTTCAGTAGCATGTAAGGCCTTTTTGATTTGATTATATGGATGACATCCACGCACGCATGAATTTTCATCCATTTAAAACAAAAAGTTTTCGGCCAAACTGTAAATCGTACAAAGCAGCTGCAACAGAAGGAAATATATGCCTTAAATTGCAAAGAAAATTGGAAAACAATATTAATGATGTAGAATGCCAAAATCAATTAAAAAGTAAAAGAAGAATACGGGAAGAAATGAAAATGAAGAGTCATACCATGCTCACATACATATACACAAAGGTTTCATTTTCATTGTCAATTCTTTTTTTTCCTTGCAGTTTCTTTCCGACTGTATTTATCTACATTGTGGGCGGTGTGCTACTTAACAAGTTCGCCCGTCAAAAGGAGGGAAAGGACGTCATACCTAACATGGAGTTCTGGGCCTCGCTACCAGGTTTGATAAAGGTATGCCAATGCTGTCTATATCTTTCTTTGATTCTATGAGGCGTTGTATGACCGAGTGGCTAATTACAATGCAATTGCAATGTAAATATTGTACGTTTGGGAAGCATCTATAGCAGTGACACCTGTGCTGCAATGCAGTGTGTACCAGTCAGAATTGCCCTGAGGAAGGTGACAGGCGGTCACCGAAACGTCGGCTGAATAGAACGACTTGACTGTGGAAAAAAATCTCTTTACTCAGTGACTTACCAACCTGATGAAACTATTCACGGAATTACAATGTCGTCTTCCTCTTTAGACTGATAACGGTTAACCCACCCGAAACGTTTTCCAGAACCGAATCGACTTAACCGTTTCCAAAAGTATCTAAATCAAAAGTGTTTTTAAAAAGACTATGGAGCTACCTTGAATAACATTTATGATCAGTTGAAGAAAAATGGCTATGAAATTGATTTAGATAGATGATAAGGCTTTTTTTTATTCTTAGTGTAATGTAAAGTAACGTTATCTTTACTTGTCTTACAGGACGGCTTTCTCTTTGCTATTTCACCGATTCGCAAACAGTCCAAATACGAGAGTATATAACTCCAACATGTCAGATGCGAACGACAGTTGCGTCAGCAGCAATGCGTCAACGAACAAATAGTTTTCCAATGCAACATACAACTTTATATTCCTCTTAACACGGACGTACTTGTAAGAAAGAATAAAATGTGTATAGATTTATTAGGATCTAACAAATTCAATGATGTAATCTTCATATTATGTCGGACTCTTACCTCTTGACTTTAATGAAAAGTTGGCTTGCAGGCCGATTTGAGCTTAATGAATGGTTCAAACAAGCAAATAAACAAACAGACAAACAAGATACTGAGAACCTCATATTAGACTATTAGGCTGCAGTGGATTACAAAAACAGGTAGGCAGAAACTATGTGGAGACTACCATTAATCAATTTGTTACAAAGAACATATAAACCGCTAGATGTCGCTATTGTGATGTAGACTTGATATTACTTTGACGTCATGTGCCTTCCGGACATTCGCCGCTAATTACTCGAGTAATTCGTGAAAGGTGTAGTCTACAATATGCCACAAGCGTGCCACCGTTTTGACTGAGTGCAGCGAAGAGATCGAGGACTTACTAAGCTACCCTTTATGGAACTCTGCAATCTAGAAGACACGCTGGAACAAGCTTGACTTGAAGACGAAGCTACGCATGGGAACAAGGTAGTGCTACTGATTTGAAGACGAAGCTACGTGGGGGCACATTTTTGGTAATCATTTTGAAATTTGCTAGTGGTCTTTCAAGGGGTCGATGACACTGCCGACTGTTTACATTAATTTTCTGTCTGTAAAGAATATCGAGTCCTTTCATGTATCTTAGAAACAAGTAGATACAAAGCATTCCTTACGATTTGAAGGACTTAGTTTTCAATGTGAAGACACTTTTGAAAGTAAAAAAGAGGCATGACTAGAGGTCAATCAGTACGTCAGAAACCTTTTATATGAAATTACATGCCATTAATCTATACATACTATTATGTTGTACATTCCTTGTCTCCGAGGTTATGTCTAGGACGGACATTTCCTTCTTAAAAAGGGAAGAATACGATCGAAAAATAATTTTCTGACACCCCTTCCCACCCACCAGCAATACTTAATCGTTGCCAGCAATTCTTTGTGACACGCGCCCGGTTGGGTGGGTTTTGGTGTCCATCACGTATTCTGGGAAGGGTCAGAAACAAAAGAGTAACATCCTAAGGGGATTTGTGGTCATTTTCGTGACATAAATTACCAGTGACGACATACTAGTAGATTGCAGCTGACGACAACTAGAAATCACCAATTCATGGCAATTGTACCGTTTAAAGTACATCATTAAGTGTTTTCTTCAACATTGCATACAGAGAAAGGGAGCTAGATAGTGTTCCTTGTCGGTTTATCGCGATCTCCCATAAATGTAGGTCAGCAAAATTCTGTCAACACTGGACGTTTGGGTAAACAACTAGTTCGGCAGCCATCTTGATTTAAAGTAAACATCGGATTCACAGTTAACTGTCAAATGTCAGAAGGTAATAGGCTATCCCGAATGAATAATAATGTTGTTGATGCTTCTTAAAATCATGTCTCTGTTTCTTACAGCAACAACCAGTGATAACTAAAAAACATGGCTCGGAAACTTTCAGCGTTCGTCACAGTGTCATTGTTGTCGTTGTCGTCTGTGATTGTCTTCTATACTGGAGACTTCGGACTGCAGACACGCTCCGTACGTGAATACCGAACCCTGAACCTCCCTCCGGCTGCGACAGTCCAACCAACACAGTCAGATACTTCATCTGCTTCTGCTTCTGATCTGTAAGTATTGACAGCCAGAATACCCTTTTGGGATCAGGCCTTCAAACTTTATGCGATCCTATTCATGTAATTGTTTAGCAGGTAATGATTCAAGTTAAATATGAAAAACACGTCGATATACGTATACAACTATACACTAGACTATCAGCATCTATACTCAGGGTTTGCCTCAATGGACTTGAGTAGTGACAATACATAGGCATACATAGGGATATGTACTAGTAGTATTTTAGCTTTGTGAAATTGTAGTGTTATGAAACAGTAGATGCCATACTTTGCACCCTGTACAATTCCTGTGGAATAAAGGTAGTATTATTGCCATATCGAAGTTAAAAGTGAAGCATTGAATGATTTTGAAACATTAGAATGCAGCATGTTGTTGGTTGACATTCAGTAGCCGTTCTTGGAATGAGTAATTGGGTGCGTCAGTTATACTCTAATTATTTCCACCATGTGTTAATTTTGTATTCACAGGTCAAATCACACCTCAGTACAGAATGATCCGGACATCAAAAAGGGCAGTCGGACTTTGAAGTAAGTTTTTTTTTTTTGCATCGTAGGCTGGTTCTAACCATTTATGGGTGGTACCCCAAAATAAAGGACTCCCTTGTTTTGGTGCTACCTTAAACACTTCAAGTATAAAATTATGACGAAAATGTGCTACGAATTCGAAATGGCAATAAGAGTCAATGTTAGACAGATTTACTCATCCAGAATTTTTTTTGTTTTGCCTCCCTGAAAGATGCCTTTAAGTATGCTTCTTGTTTTCACAGGATCAGTGAAGATAGAAATGTAGCACAGACACCAAACAAAACCTCCGAGGCGCTGTGTGTCAGACAAGACAACTTCGTCTTTGCAAAGGTCAGGAATTGTCTTGATATGTTCTGCTAAGAAAATGGAATGTCAAAGAGGAACCAAAAAATGTTATAATCTTTATAATCTTTGTAGATTGATTATATAATTACTGATTGAAAATAAGTACATATGCCCGCTAATAGAGATATTGACGCTAGATTTTTTTCGTGTCGCAGGTTCATAAGTGTGGTTCCACCACAATCCAGTCCATATTCTTCCACTATGGCTACAACCACAAGCTGATCGTGGCTCTACCAAAGAGCGATCGTAAAGCATGGATAGGAAAACCCCACAGCATCCCAAGCACGTCCTACAAACCGCCCCCTGGCGGAAAACAGTGGAACATCTTCAACCACCACAACGTCTATGACAGGGACATGTTTCTGCGTCTCATGCCCAAAGATACAAAATTCGTCACCATCCTCAGAGAACCCATAAGTCGACTGAGTTCAGCTTTTAACTACTTCATGCTGTACAAGTACTTCACGAACATGGTTAACATTTCTGTTGAAAGGAGGAAGTCGCCGATTCAACTATTTTTGAAGGATCCATGGTACTGGGAAAAACAGTTTCATCCAAAGCGCTCGGCATATGGTTCGCTCAACGACCTTGGTTGTATCCAAAACTGCATGGCACAAGACCTTGGTATGGAACGAAGCCAATACAACAACGCTAACGCCGTAAAACATTACATAGAAAAGCTTGACAAAGATTTTACAATAATGATGATTCTAGAGAAGCTGGAAGAATCGTTGGTGCTTCTGAAAAGGCGCATGTGTTGGTCTCTTCGAGATATCATCTTTTGGGAGAACAGAAAGTTCAAGAAGAGACAATATTTTGTCAAAGCCGGAGATGTGCGGTTTCGCGGGTCTTCACTCAAATCAGATTTCACAGAAGAAATGAAGCAAAACTACGAAAAGTTCAGCAACATCGACTTTAAGATATACAACTACTTTTATGAGAAACTTACAAAAGACATAGATGCAGAAGGACAGGACTTTATTGAAGAGGTGGATCATTTTAAACACATACTGGAAAAAGTAGCCTCTTATTGCAAATCTACAAAGAAACCAAAGCACTTATGGTTTAAGGATTCCAAGTGGAACAAAAGATTTGCCATTGATGAGAATTATTGTCAATTGTTAAGCGAAGAGAGGCCAGGGTGGGATAGAATTTTAAGAGAACACTATTATGATAATTTAGGTAAACAATAATAAGACATAGGAATGTAAATAAGAAATCTTGTTGAATCGTTTATTTATGTATGTATGCATGGTGCATTGTAGCTATGTATACATATATATTAGGCTCATTATGGGTTCACCACACCACGAAGTGGTGTGGTGAAACCATATTGCTTTTTCTGATGTTTCTTCTTCTTCTCCTCCTCCTTCTCCTCCTGCCATTTTTTAAATGGATTCAGCTTCTTCATTTTAGGGCCCAAGGTCCTGAAATTTGGTATGGAGGTACAGTGGGCAAATACCCCTAGGCGTTTTTTAAATTATTGTGATACAGGCTTTTAGAATGGTTTTATTTGAGTTTTTTGGCTGTGTTATAGCAAATGTATTACTGTGTTAGTGTGCCTTGTTTACCACGTTTGGGCATGAGTCATCACAATGGAATGCAGGGCATCAACCAATAGGCATGCAGCTTTCCTCTATACTTCTTGCTGATTGGCTGTTGGGATTTAACTTGATTAACACCTGCACAGAAGCATTTCTGACAGTATGTCTGTATTCAAGTGTTTTGGTAGGTATTTCAAGCTTTCCTGCTCCAGCATTGGAATGCCGGGCATGGTACGTTTTTTTTATTTTGAAAATCAACAGTTTGCATTATGCAATTAAAAATCCTAACCAATAAAGTAGGGAATAGCTATCCAACTGTTGTTTTAGTTGTATTTTACTTCATATTATAGTTATATCAATGTAAATCATTGTTTTCCCTTGTGTTTCCCATTCTTCCCTGCCATGTCGTAAAATGTGGTGAACCCATCGCTGTATTTGCTCCAAAGCAAATATTGGCCTTTCTAGTTCTAATACTAGTATATGGTGTATTTGTTTCTTCAATTTGTGCTTTATCTTGATATTATATATTTCCTTTACCATTAAATATCATATTTATTTTTAAATGTTTTGTGTTATTCCTTTATTTGCTTTTGATGCTGACCTAATAAGTAGTATTCATGCATCTTTGTCTAACAAATTAAGTTCAAGTAAAGGCAGACATGAAAAACCAATGCACTACCTCACAGTAAAATCAAAGCATGCCTTTGTGTTAATATATACGAAGTATTCCAACATCGCAGCAGGTAAAAGTGAGATTGGAATACGTATTTTTGTATATACATGTAGAGGGTCATAAATACCATTGCACAGAAGTCACTTGTGCAATTGTGCATACAAATACATAGGTAATATCTTTTACATTTTCACATGCAGAAAATCTAAATTCTTATTGATAGTCAGGGCATTTCTCAGGCATCGTGACTGATGTTGTGTCCTCTGACGTTAAGTGACAGACATCTAAATACATCTACTTCAAACGAGGGCAGAAAAAGCGCAGTACGGTTCTGAAAAGAACGTCTGAGCTGGTAAATAATAACCGGTCTGACGTGTGACCGTCTCGTGTTTGACGTAAGAGAGAATGTCCCGGAGGCGGAGGCCTGAGCCTTATGCACGAGTCATTACACAGGGCAGGCAGCTGGTCGGGCGAGTTTGGTCACCATGTTTCTTTTTTTTTTCTATGACGTGCCTTGAAACGGCCATTAATCAAAATCAATAGAGAAAACATGAGTATCGTACACAGATACAATACAACCTTCTTCAGAAACTGCCTAGCTACTTGAGCCCTTTCGTTATTTTACAAACAGGAAGACGACCTTACCGTAAGTATACATTTTTATAAGATCTTGTAAGGTTACTTTGGGTGGAGGTCAGTGAAGTAGGTGTTCACAACAACAATGTCGGCCATGTTGGTTCAACACCCTCTGGTTATCGGGCGTGTTTCTTGTGTGTTTGTCTGTGCGCGTGTGTATGCTTTGTGCGTGTGTGTCACAGCGTGTCAGTGTGTGTGTCTTAGTGTGCATCTGTGTCTGTTTGTACATGTGTATCTGTGCCTGTGTGTGTCACTGTGTGTATGTGTGTGTGTGTGTGTGTGTGTGTGTGTGTGTGTGTGTGTGTGTGTGTGTGTGTGTGTGTGTGTGTGTGTGTGTGTGTGTGTGTGTGTGTGTGTGTGTGTGTGTGTGTGTGTGTGTGTGTGTGTGTGTGTGTTTGAGTTCGTGCACGAGATTGCAAGCAGCAAGGGCTTTTACAATCCAGACTTGACTCTGTTTATCTTTTTCTTCAGCACTACTAACTGAAAACATGGATAGGAAGATTCTGTGGCTGAACATCCTGTCCTTACTGTCAGTACTGACAATCGCCCTGTTCTACACCGGGGACTACCTCCCGAGGAAAGTAAACTTCCGTGACTACCATTTGATGAACTTGTCCGTGGAGTTAAGTTTTCACTACAAACAACCAACTAACGTTTCGGTTTCAACAGAGTAAGTACTGTCAAATGTATATGCCCCATGTAAAAATGAGCTGTTTTTTTTTCTTGAATCGTTCTTTATTGATGAGAAGCTCCTATGGGCCTGTAGGCCACATCACATTGTCATTGAAGTTATGAGAGAAGAGGTAAGGGCCGGACGAAACTATAAAAAAGGTAAAATTTACACAATTCAGAGTCCTCATAAATCCATACACATATTTGTTTCACAGTACATGACAGAAAATATATTACACCTATACACCTAATGATAATAACATGATAAATATATTACATAATGAATGTATTACATTGTCTTGTTTCTGCAGCGAGCTGTGCATAGATTGAATAGGGCATGATAATAGCAATTTGAATATCTCTCCTTTTATAGGATCCGTGATATTGGAAGTCTTCTAGAAGCATCAAACCAAACAGCAGATACTCAGTGTGCCAGACAAGATAATTTCGTGTTTGCAAAGGTCAGTTATTTTCCATACTGATGATTTTATGCATATGAAGCAAAACATTTGACAAAATAACACATGATGGCTGACATCCTAGTCATATGCAATCAGCTATGGACCTCTTCACCGAATTCCTAGTAACTGAATTATCATTTCATACGTGGGACATTAATATTTCAACATTTCCCATTTGTTTACTTTGCCTATGGTTTTAGCTTTTGCCAGGGGCTTAGAAATGTTACAAACGAACTTTGCTACAATTTTTCTTGTCAATCTTATGATATGAATGCACTGCTTCTAGATCGTGGCAGAACAGTAACACTTTATTTTCAAACTCTAGGTGCACAAATGCGGTTCCTCTACAATTCAGGCCATCTTCTTCCATTATGCCTACACCCACAAGTTGATAGTGGCTCTTCCAAGGCGAGTCAGGAGAGCCTGGATAGGAAAACCCCACATCATCACAGAAAAGTCCTACAAACCGCCCCCTGGCGGAAAACAGTGGAACATCTTCAACCACCACAACGTGTACGACAGAGAGATGTTTCTCAAGCTCATGCCAGCAGATACGAAATTCGTCACCATCCTCAGAGAACCGTCAAGTCGAATAAGTTCTGCTTTTAACTACTTCCACATGCATAAATTCTTTAACGGGATGTCGGAAACTGCTGTTAGAACTAAAACTCCTCCCGTGAAGGTATTTATGACGAATCCTTGGTACTGGGAGAAACGTTTTCATCCACCTCGAAAAACTGGAGCTGGTTCAATCGACGATTACGGTTGCATCCGAAACTGTATCGCCCATGACCTTGGCTTAGAGGATAAACTTAGTACAGACAAGGATGCCGTGAAGCGTTACATCGAAAAGTTGGACGGAGATTTTACAACAGTGATGGTTTTGGAGAAACTAGACGAATCGCTGGTGCTTCTAAAACGTCGCATGTGTTGGTCACTGAGAGACATCATCTATAGAAAAGGCACAAAGCTCAAGAGCAGATCTTACAAGTTTAAAGAGGAATCCCTGAAACTTAAAGGATCAGAAATGCAGAATAATTTCACACAAGAAATGCTTCACAACTTTGAGAACTTCAGCGCAGCAGACTTTGCAATCTACAAACATTTTTATGCAAAGTTGTTAAAAGAAATTGCACAAGAAGGACAGGATTTTGTCAAAGAAGTGTCACAATTCAAGCATATACTAGTCGAGGTGGGACACTACTGTAGAACACCGCATAAACCACCAGTATTGTGGATTGAACAGTCAAAGTGGAACGCACGGTTCTCTATAAATGTACAGTTTTGTTCATTGCTAAGAAGAGAACGACCTGGCTGGGCGGGGCTTCTGAATAAACGATACAATGATCATGCCACGAACGGTAAACATAAACATAAACATGATTAGCATTATTTGGCGAGGGTATGAGATCGTGGAACTCTAGTATTTTTATTTCCTATAATGGTTTATATTTGGAACCTTGAGTATCTTATGTTACAATTGATTGTAGTGTCTCCAATCATTGATTTTACTGCGTGATAGCAGTGTTACTACTAGCTCCTCGCTTTTACAGAAGATATTTTGTGCACACAAGATTTTAATAAAACAAAAAAGCACAAGAATATCTTTTCTACATCTTAATTAATAGACAGATGTGATGTCTGTAAAATGTACTTTTCATTGAGGTCACTGTGGTACATGTACATGAAATTGATGCAGATACATGATCTTATAAAGGTGCTATCATTACTGATTATGAAACTACATAAAACATATAACGTTAACAGTATCGGACCTCTGTTTTGTGTATCTGTCAAAGTATAAGCAGAAGTAAAAAAAATGTCCTCAGATTTTGTCGTAGCTTGCGTCTCTTGCCTGGGGACTTCTACAGGGACTTGTTGCAAATCTGTAGCCGTCCTGAAAATACAAAGCGAAAGTAGAAAGGTAACATTTGCAAAGCAAATGCATAATGTTTACCTTCACATATGGTCTGCTCTGTTTATTCTCACTCAAACACATTCACATATATGGTGACAGAAGTCTAAATTCCTCCTGCTATAAAATTGCAACATGATGTAACCCAACACTAGTTACCATGGTAACAGACTATGGTTCAGGTCATTGACCTTTTTGGTTTGGAGAAGGAGAGGAAACGTAGCAAAAACAATATGTTTTCCTCGGTAAACATAATAATTCTAAGAGCCATTTCCCTATTAGTTTCTTTAACTATTTGTTTGTCTTTTCGTATCGACAATATATTTAAAATGGCTCCTTTGATCACCAAAGACAAAGTTTAATTCGTGCGAAAGAGAAACAGTCAAGCACGGTACCTTTATCACTCCTGGTAACTCTGACCAGAAATAGGCGTTAGGCACGAGGTCTCTTCCGCTCTGTCCTCGGACGATTTTGTTAAAGGCGACTCCCCCAACACAGTACAGGAAAAGGGCGGGAAAGAATCTGTTTGTGAGAGAAGTACCAAATCGTATATTGTATCGCATGCTTCTTTGTTATCTCTTATAAAACATTACAAAATAAAAACGACAACGCTGACTTTATTTACCTCTTAACAACAACAAAAAAGATTTTTAAACACATTTTGGGTTTTTGAAACGCTGGGGTCATATATATCTACGCGAACGTCTCACACAAGAACTGAATTATAATATCTATGAGTTTATCTATTCAAATAGACGTATGTATAGACAGTAAAATTACGTCTGAAAAATTAAAACTTACATTATACACAAAACGGATCCAAAGCTTATACTGCCGGCGAGTCCAGGCCAAGGTCCTTCCTTCACACAGCTGTGTAGACTGCTTAACGTGAATTGCTATAAGAAATGATAAGTGATATCTAGCCATGGTAATACTGCCCAACTGGTTGGCAGTTATGAACGTTGAAATGATAAAGGATTTACAAATCAGTAAATCAAAACCAATATCTAGTAGCATTCATTGTTTTATGTACAAGTACTGTACTATACAGGACAGAAAATGATTTTGGATTATTTGCTTGAATGAAATTCCTAATATTTCAATACTTGAGTACTTTTGATAATGATAAGAAGAAGAAGCATCACTCATTATATTGACCATTATACAAACAGACAACATAGGAAAACAAAGAATACAATTTATAATATATGATGTATCATATGGAAATGGGGAAAGCAAAATTCTGGAGCACATTCAAGAGTAGGTCATTAGGTTTTGAGGAACTGATGATCATAAGAGATACTCACGTAGTCATTGGTAGCAAGTTCACCGTATACAGTTAGGTCGTCATTACCCTGTGTACACTGTAGCACGACATCGAGACTTCTGTGGCCAAAAGAAAAAAATATTGCAGTATTTTCTATTTGCCTTATTGATAAATCAATCCATAAAATTGATATAATGGCAAAATTTGATGGAGAAAAAATAACATTTTCAAAAGTGTTGAAAACAAGGACATACACGTACTGTATGACGTTATATCTATAGCGTAACGTCTATCAATTTATCTATCTATATCTACGTCTCTAACACTATATCGTCTGTGCTTAACATAAACAATGGATGTTACTAGTACTAGATATTGGTTTTGTTTTACTGATAGATAGATAAATGGGACCGGTGAGGTGAGGTGAGGAGATAAATGTCAAATGATTTCTGTGATAATTCATGTATACGATTATCATACATTTCTCCTAAAACTGTGTTAGGAATACCCTTACTTTGATCCATCTCTGCTCAAATACCTCAGCACCCAGTTCCCATTCAAATCCTTGTTGAAGGTGACAGAGTCTTGCGTCCCGATGTCAAAGGATTGTGTTGCGTCCCAGTTACTGACCTGACACGCCTGCGTGGATGGTCAAAAGAAGATACAGAATAAAGAGACTCTTTTTACACATCCAAGTGTTTTATTCAACCGACGTTTCGGTGACCGTCTGCCACCTTCCTCAGGGCAATTCTGACTGGTTTACATTCTAGCAACATTCTAGCTTACCAAAATACTTCTCAGTTTTTTGTTACTCAAACACCGATTCATTTATAATATATGGTGAGCAGTCGCTCCAGCTCTGTCTACATAATTTAACCCAACACCACAGGGTGTCTGCTACAGCAACAGTTACCATGCTGACAGACCTGTGGTCCACTTTATTTGTTTGGAGAGAAGAAGAAGAGGAAGAAACTGAGCAAAAACAATATTTTTCCTTCTGCGAAGATGTACGTAATAATTTGAGAATCTGAAACAAACGGGAGGAGAAAACTAACCGCTACGTTGGAGCACTGCGACATAGAGAAGGGTCCACACGGGTTCCAGGAGTACAGCCACGGGCCGAAATCCTGGGGCTGGACGTCCCTGAACCTAAGAGAGATGACGAGAGCGTGGTGACATTGTATCTTTTATGGAACAGCTAAAGAATTCAATCAGAAGCTAAGATTGAAAAGACAATGCCTAAAATCATACCAGATCTTTTCGTTGTTGCATCTACATGTAAAAGCTACTCAAATCTTCGCAATTCATATCCGATGTCAAGTCTATGCATTACGTCAAACCTTCTTTATTACACTGGCCATACGACAATTTGTAAGGATTCTACTAATACAATTAATCTATGAAAAAGTTAATACCAATATTCCTCTTGGCAGCTAGTAGTCCGCGGCAACTGTTTATGATCAAGTTTAGTACATCTTACAATCAAGTTAATTGCAAGTACAAATCTAAGTACAGATGTCAATATATAAACAGTTTATAAAACGGGTTGTCAAAGTTTAACGAGTCACTAACCTAGGTTTAGTTGACGACTGGACAGAATTGAGGTCTATGTAGCCCGACTTATCGTCCATCTCGCATGCACAGGACATTTTCTTCACGCAGGTTTGAGACTTGGCCAGCTCAGAAGAGAAGACAACGAGAAAAGCTGCCAGTGTCTGGCGCCTGAACAGTCCTGTATGTTTTGTACCCGCCATTTTGAAAGTTCTGACACCAACTGCGCCTGACAAGCACGTGAGAGAGTAAACATACCTGTAGTGTGAACAAACTACTAAAAGGTTACCTGGTATGGCGATCAAAGTACAACTGTGACAGCTTTCAACTTGTTTTACCATAGGAAAGGGCGGAAAATTCTTATCAACTACGAGGGGAAAAGGGAGCATGATGTATATATTTTGACGGAATGAATGAATGAATAGATAAATGAAGAAATGAAAGGTTTATTTGTGACAAACATTGCAGCCTTCTGACTGAAATTACGTACGTGTTACTTACATCGGTTAAAATACATGTACTCATTTTTTCACAGAACTGCAAATATTATGCAGGTTTGTGACTAATACATTTGGGACAAAAAGGTCGTTTCTAAATCATATGTACATAGACAATCAATAGTGTAATCAGGTGACCTAGACAACAATCAATAGTGTAATCAGGTGTGAAGCAATCTCGAACCCAGAGCAGTCGCATACGTGTATTCTGAACGCAGGGTGGCTCAATTCAAACATGTATTTATTGTTCAATCGTACTTGTGGAAGACCATAGGAAAGTCCTTGTACTTTTGTCGAGTCCAATCAAGACCCATCAAGAATCCAGTAAGCCTTAGTACCCTGGGCACGAGACCAGGTCAGGCTGCGCTTCAACTTTAACCTATGACCTTAATTTTCCCTGACCGAGCACCAACCTGAAGTAGGCCGCCGATTGGGCCGCCGATTCGTAGCCGCCCTTTCAGCCGCCGATTCGGGACTAAACCGAGCATAGCAGCTGATTCAAATACAGATTCGAAATCCCAGAAATTTCCTAAATCGACCCCAAAGAAAAATCACGAATGGGGAATTGTTGCAAATGGTCTGTAATAACGCATAGAATATCAATTCAAAGATGAATAAAATCATAAAGTACCAATTAAACGATAAAGTGCAAATTAAAGACTTAAAAACGACACCTAGCGACAATATCATAATCTGCTGATGCTGGCCGCCGATTCAAGTGAATGGTCTCCACCCTCAGGTGCTAAACACCTTGCGTGAGATTAACCATATAATTCTATAACTCGTAATGACTTTATAATGATCCATACTTTGATATTCTAGTAAGAAAAGTAACGCACACGACGTCGTTATTATGTCATGTCGCGTTAAATCAACGAAAATGGCGGGCAGTTGTACCGTAACTCGTCTCCACCTATAAGTGTTAAACACCTTGCAGCAGGGTAGCAATATAATTTTACAACATACAATGACATTCAATCCCTTTACAATGATCCATACTTTGATATTCTAGTAAGACATGTAACGCACACGACGTCGTTTTGACGTCATGTCGTCTAAAACTAAAGAAAATGGCGGGAAGTTGTACCGTGACTCGTCTCCACCTTTAGGTGTTTGACACCTTGTGGCAGAGTACCCATATAATTTTACAAGTTGCGATGACTTTCAATCCCTTTATAATGATCCATACATTCTGTATCTGTATAGCCGGTATAACCGCCTTTCGGCGTAACACACCAGCTTCGCAGGCACGCGGCGCGGCGGCAGCTGGCTATATTATACCGATCGACTTGTTACACCTAACCCTTGAACTTCTAGCTCTAGACATTGTTTAAAGCTATCTATTGACAATGCCCCTACTGTACTTGGTGACAGTGAGTTCCACTCTGCGATAGTTCTAGGAAAGAATGAATTCTTGAACACCTCAATCCTTGGTTGATAACTCTGGTACTTGAATGCGTGGCTATTTCTTGTTCTCTTCTGGGCTGGTATTAGGTACTTAGTAGTTGGGACATCCACCAGTTTATTAGTCATTTTGTACATCATGCATAGTCTAGACATCTTTCTTCTGTCTTCCAGAGAGGTCCACTGTAGGTTTCTTTTCATTTCCGTGACACTACCACCTCCTACATAGTTGTTCATAAAGAATCTTGCAGCTTGATTCTGTACCCTTTCCAATTTGTCATTGTCTTTCTTTGTATATGGATCCCATACTAAGAAAAGTAACGCACGTCACGTCGTTTTGACGTCATGTCGTGTTAAATCAAAGAAAATGGCAGGAAGTTGTACCATAGCTGGTCTCCACCTGTAGGTGTTTAACACCTTGCAACAGAGTAACCATATAATTTTAAAACTTGCAACGACTTTCAATTCCTTTATAATGATCTATACTTTGATATTCTATTCAGAAAAGTAACGCACACGACGTCGTTTTGACGTCATGTCGTCTCAAATTGAAGAAAAAATAGCGCGAAGCTTTACTCTAGCTTGTCTCCACCTTTAGGTGCTTAATATCTTGTAGCAGAGTATCCATATAATTTTACAACTTGCAATGGCTTTCAATCCCTTAAGGAGGCACGCCCCAGTTTATTTGGGCCCTCTATTCGAAGCTGCACACCCTCAAATCTAGCGACCGTCTCTGGCGTGGAATAATTCGGAAGGAGAATAACTGTATATGGGACGAAATGATATCTCTTCAGCTACAAGACAAACTCGGTCAACTCGGTCAACTCGGTCACTACCCTGGTCAACTCGGTCAACTCGGTCAACTCGGTCAACTCGGTCAACTCGGTCCACTACCCTGGTCAACTCGATCAACTCGGTCAACTCGGTCCATACCCTGGTCAACTCGGTCAACTCGGTCAACTCGGTCAACTACCCTGGTCAACTCGGTCAACTACGGTCAACTCGATCAACTCGGTCAACTCGGTCAACTACCCTGGTCAACTCGGTCAACTCGGTCAACTCGGTCAACTCGATCAACTCGGTCAACTCGATCAACTCGGTCAACTCGGTCAACTCGATCAACTCGGTCAACTCGGTCAACTACCCTGGTCAACTCGGTCAACTACCCTGGTCAACTCGATCAACTCGGTCAACTCGGTCCACTACCCTGGTCAACTCGGTCAACTCGGTCAACTCGGTCAACTCGGTCAACTCGGTCAACTCGGTCAACTCGGTCAACTCGGTCAACTCGTGACGTCGTATTAAATTCAAGAAAAATGGCGGGAAGCTGTACCGTAGCTGGTCTCCGCCCGCAGGTGTTAAACACCTTGTTGCAGAGTAACATTATAATTTTACAACTTGCAATGACTTTCAATCCCTTTATATTGATCCATACGCTGATATTCTACTCAGAAAAGTAACGCACACGACGTCGTTTTGACGTCATTTGTCTTAAATTAAATAAAATAGTGAGAA